GGCCGAGTTTCATAATGCCATACACAAATACATACATAAATATCCATGCGGGTGATAGAAGCGGTATAGCATCAAATCAACAATCAGAAAACAAAGCGAAGAAATGAAGATGTAGAAACATGCACAGAACATATAATATGAAGCAAAAAGAAAGTTGGGTCATGAATGATATACAGCGAAAACGCGACCTTGCTCTATTCCCATCCATTGCCAAATGATCATTGCCACCTTGCCACCCGTGATGCCATGCCCACCCATGTATTATGAACAATAAATAGAAAACCCCTATCCGGAATCGGCGACTCTTCTCGTTCGTTGGAGTTCAAGTCGTTGTTGAGCCTTGTTGTGGTGTTTTCTCCTGTTTTCGGGCGGATTGTTCCGAGAGTGGTAAAAAATTTGCTGGGCATGCTAAGCCCCTGGTACAGCGTATTATTGACAGCTCCAAGCTCCAAGCTCCAGCTCCCAGCCTCCACAAGCCAGTGGAGCTTCATCGGTGCCGTTTGTGGGCAATGCCGCCTCTCTGTTTCTTCAAATCCGTCCACTGCACTGCCCTGAGTTTGTGCACCTTCCACACTTACTTCTCCGTCGTCCCCACGGGCGCTTCAAAGTTCCACAACCTTGCCGCGCATCATTCCTTCGCCTTCGTGTCGGAGGTCGCCCAGCGTGCGCTCTATGCTCTCCGCTTTAAGGCGCACAGCCTTTTCACGCTCGGCCACTTCTGCTTCAAAGTCGGCCATCCGCCGCCGCTTGGCCTGCCGTTTCGCGCGAATCTTGTTCGACAGCTCGGCAAACTGCGTCAGGAACCAGTCTCCGCACTCATCCCACTCGTTGACCGACATGTCTGTGAAGAAATGGTGCTGGCTGTTGGCGTCCTTGGTCTTGAAATGCAGCAGCCGGTCTTCCATGGTAGCCAGCTTGGCCGGGGCGGCGGGCGGCGGGCGGACGGCCATGCGGGCCGGGTCATGGTCGAACGGCTCGTCGCGGAGCTCTGAGTAGTTCATCGCGTGCAGCACGCTGTCGTCGTAGTCTGGACTGTGGCGCCGCTTCCGACTCGGTTTCTTGTCGCGCCGGCTGCCGCCCCCGCCCACACGGGGCAAGGAGCTCTCCTGCAGGACCCGCTTTTGCAGTTGCTGTTGCTGTGCTGGGATCGCGGGTGGTGGTTGTTGCGGTGGTGGTCCCGGCGGCGACGAGCGGTTCTGACGCGGAGTACGTTGATTGGTTGCCTCATCGCCCTGTGACGGCAAGTCGCTTCCATCGTCGGTCTCGGGCCGAGCAGGTGTCCGTCCCAGCAGCGGCGCATCAATGTCACGGAAAAATGCAGACCGTTGGGCGCCCAAGTCGTGGTCCAGCCCTACACCACCGCCTGCCATGACTGCTCCGTTCAACTTGGGGATGCTCTCGCTTCGTTGATGCATGCGCCGTTCAGGGGAGCTTCCGTTGGCTTCGTCCACGCTTCCATGTGGCTGTCGCTCCGAAAATGAAGACCGCCGGGTCGCACCACGGGCATCTCGCAAAGCGTACTTGGAGTGCTTCAGGACAGGTATATGCCTCGATGGGGAGCCGTAGGGAGAGCGGTCTACGTAAGGGTCGTCCGTGTGAGCTGCCGTGTCGCCGTTTCCGTTTGTTGGCAGTATCCGGAGTCCACCCCGATCACCCATCACAAGAGAAGCCGCCTGCTCCCGTTGCTGTGGGAAGGAGCTGTCATAGCGGCCCAAGTTGGCCGAGCGGGGTGGTGGTCGTGTTGTCGTCGTTGTGCTTTCTGCAAACATAGAGTTGATGCTGGACTCTTCCCATATTTGTTGCTGCTGTTGCTGCTGTTGGGACAGCTCGGAAAAGGGTGGCGGCCGGTTGTTGTCCGAATTTGACCGTGTCCGCTGAAACGACGGCTGTCTCTGAGGCTGGTCGTGTGTACTTGCGTGTTTCTGTGCCTGCTTTGGAGACGGAGAAGCTGCCGGGAGTGCGCCATTAGTCTGATGGTTCGGGGTTGCGCCACGAAGGGGAGGAGGGACGGGGATCTTTGCGGCCTCGGCGAGCAGTTGCCGCGCAGAGAGCGGCAGCGGCGCATGGATCGTGTGGGGGGTATGCTGTGTACCGGATTGAGAAGAGGGCTGCTTGGGACTGCCGCCGGGCGCCCCGTTGGTGTTGATGCCTGCGGCGTTGCTGGCACTTGCGGTGGTGTTGCCGTTGACGTTGCTGTTGCCATTGCCGTTGCCCTTGGGCTCGGAGCTTCGCATGTATCGCAGCATCTTGAGTTGTGTTGCTGGCATCATCGCCCTGCGCAGGCAGGACAGACAACTATGGGCAGTCGCGGCGGCAGCAGCTGCCGGCGAAGAGGCGGCCAGCTGTGTGAGAGCCAGGCCACCACTGGACTGCGGTGCGGTACGAGCACAGGGCAGTGTGCTATAGTGTTGGGGGCGAAGAATGATATACCAAAGTGTATGGAGATGTAAACAACTGCTGCCCTATAGTGTCGAGAATATGAGGGCGATAGCGTATCACAGTATGTATTGTTCTTAGGCCGCCGCGTCCACCAGTGGTTCTCGTGTAGAGTTGCTCGTGTGCCAGCACAGTGTGTGTCAGAGGCGTTCGCCTGTTCCCTAGTCTTGCTGGGGACGAGTCGGCTGCGAGTCTGTGTGGTTGAGAAAGCAAGGACCTGCTTGCTGCCTTGTTCCTTTTAGGAAGAAGGTCGACGAAAGGTCGGAGAGTCGGGGAGTCGGTGCAATCGGAAGGCTTATAACTGTCACGGCGCGTTCTGTTGGGTGCGTGGGGTGGTGCGTTGGACACAGGTAACGTTGGGCCGCAGATGAGTTTGAGAAACTGAGTTGGGTCAATTTGCAAGACGAAGGAGAAAAGGGGGAGAATGTGGAGGTCGAGTAGAATATCAAAAGACGGATGCGTTGAGTATGGGGTAACTGGCGGGGGGCGGAAGGAAGTCGTGTCGTTCTTTCTCAACGGTCGTGGTTCCAATGGAGTCGAAAGGAAGGCACACGAAGTCAGGTGAACTGCATGGCCTCGCATTCCCCAAGTGGCTGCATTGCATTGAATTTCTAGTGCACGTTTTGGGGGCTTTTGGGGGTCGCTCTTTCTCTGGTTGTCGCTGGCGCGTGGCGCTAGCGTGCCGCGTTCGTTAGCGGGGATCCACTCGCGACTGCCAATTGCCATCCAACGGTTCCCTGCTATGACAGGCCCGCCTCAAATATCTCGAGCTGCATCGACATTGAACATGCCACCCTACACTTCTCTTCCTGCACGCTGCATGCATCGTCGGTCGAGATGCAACAACACGCACACCTCCTTCTGCTTGGCTTGAGATGCGATGCGCTGGCAACGTCGCGCAATTGGTCAGTAAGTGTCTGCGTGTCTGTGCCATCTTTGAAATCTGACTTCTTGTCCGTTCTTTCACGAAATTTGTTTTTGTTTCCTTTCGAGTCTTATGCAGGAGCGTTAGCTCTAATATATGTAGTCTCGCTCATAATCTACGTTTGTTAGTTTTTTCAAACAAAAATAGAAAACATTCGTGTTTACGTTTCGCCCTGACTTTATATATACCTCCACCTCGAGCCTTCATCTCATGGAAGTCGCCGCATCCTAGCGTTGTCGAAGTGAATGCAACCTGGTGCCCAATCTCCTGCACATTGCTGCACTCCCGGGAGCCTGACAAGATATAAGGGTCCTTTATACCATCTGCTAAACTGTAGAGTAAACCTTCGTTGAGGACTAAACAAATCGGACAGAGCAGTGTAAGACTTAAGATGAACAGTTGGTCATTGGGCCGCCATACAAAGAGCATCCGCCCATGCTATCCTATGACGAGATAGATTCCCTGCGACCACTCTCTCATACGATATGCTTTGATCTCTCCTGCCCATTTCTGGTAACAAATGCATGCTGGCGGATCCAGGGCCCAGCAAACCAGACGGCAGATCGTGACAATGCCTGATTGTTGCCTGCAGGTCAAGGCCAAATGACGCCTCAACGTCCTTGATTAACCAAGGCTTCATTTCGAAATTTCGAATGTGCGCAATGTCGTCCAGAAGCAAAACGTGGGCAGACTAAAGAAGCCGTGAAAGACGAGAAACATTGTAAAATTACCAACACCCACTAAATTTGGGGTGGCATTTCTGCACTTGGACTTCTCAGACGCCATAGCCGGCATCTGTAAACTCTTTTGCACGGTTAAATGATCACGACCCAGGCCTGTTAGCGAACAAAGTCTAACAAGTCAAAATGCTCATGATTTTCTCTCCTCACCTGGATCTGACGGCTGCACTTCTTCGTTAAACCACTAATCATCAAGTTGCACCTGTGCTCGGCGTACCTCTTCTCCATGGGCCAGGCCAGGCCGCCTGCTGTTGATAGCCGTGTGGTCTGTGCCGTCACTGGTTTTGCGGCAGCTCTCGAGAACGAGATGCGGTGCGCATATAAAATCAACTAGACGGTCTTACGAAGATCAACATAAGAATCACCCCGTTAAAGGTTAAAATGATATCTCCTACTATCAGTATCAACAGAGGTGGTCTCCTAAACACAGACCCGATTATATGGTGCACATCGGAGCTCAACTTAAGCATTTGGAGGCGCTTCTCGGCACAAACATTCAAGTCAGGCCGAGGCATAACACGGCACTTTCCAGTTTTCCAGTTACAATTCGCACTTTCTCTACAGATCACCATAGTACTCTGTGCCATCCGTTAGACGCCTCATAACCGTAGTGCATGTTAGTTAAATTATATGTGATATAAATCTATTCCGTCCGAAGGCACTAAGCCTGAAGGGCTTCGGTTATATTGTGGGATGTGTCACAGCCTTCCAACCTTTTATGTAAACACGTGATTATATATCGAACTCGTCCGGTTTGTTGACATACACAGAGGTATTTACCTCAACACCACAAAGTCAGAGGCCTCTTCGACGGAGCAAACGAACCAGCTACGTTTTTGAAGTTTGTTTTGTTGCTCCAAGTTGTTCTGTTTGGCTCGTCCTCTCGTTACGTGTTCAAAATGCCCTCCCCTTGGCGATTTATTGCAGATACGGAGTCCGAGTCCGAGACTAACGACGATGGCTATGGTGGTGCCGACAAGGAGACGGTGCAGCTGCAGGCGCTGCGTGGAGAGGTGGTACCGGCGCTGCCAAGTCTCAAGGATGAGACGCTGCAGCGGTGCGTGATACACGGAGTGCGGCACCACGCCGAGTATGCCAGCTCGCCTGAGATCTTGGAAATCTGTGCTTCAAGGCAGTATCCAGCCATTGTACGAGCCAGACATGCCCGACTGATTATGAGCGACGTCATTCCCCAAGATATGGGCGACGACAACGAGGCGGACAGGGAGACGCTGCCCTACTGCATCTGGTACCCGGACGTCGCACGCGAGGAGACCTACCGCGCGCTTGTGCGGCAATATCCCCAGATGCGCTACGCCGTCGGTCGCGCCTGTGCAGTCGCTGGCTATGCCGCTCTGTACCATGAACTGGGCCTGCTGCCGGACGTGTCCATCGCCGACGAGGCACGCGACAACATGGAGCGCGTGCCCGGCAGCCGTGCCATTTTCCGCGACATTATGGCGCAGACGATGCGGTTTGCTGTCATGGACGACTACACGCGATCCGTGCATCTGGAGCAACCACGAGCAGGTGCATTGTTCTATGACGACACGGCCGTGCGTTCGCGGCTCGACAGCGATTCCATTGGTCTTGCAGACTACCGTCGCAACGGACGACGGCACGCGTACTTTGACATTGCCGAGGACCACGGGCTGGCCGAAGAGACGCGCAGTCCGCATTGTTCACCTCTGATCGCCGATGAAGGTACGCTGGCACTGCTCTACGCACCACTGCCGCCCGACCTGCCAGCTATCAACAAGGACATGCTGATCCTGATGGCGGCCGCCGAGGGCAATGTCGACCGGTACGCGCGGCTGCGGCGGCCGTCTTTGGTGGAAAACGAGCTCTTCTGCGTGGTTCGTGCTATCTACCACAGCACCATGTTTGCCAAGTGGTGGGCAATGCAGTTGGACGACACGCGAGACGAAGCAAGGGCTCCAAGCCACGTATTGGAGGCCTTGCAAACAAACAACGCCGCCTTTCTGCGCAAGGCCGTCAACGCCCGCTACATTATGAGCAACGGCGTGTCACGCATCACAGCCGAGACACCCAGCGGTGAAATTCCCTACGTGATCTGGCACCCACGCCGGCCGGACTGGGCCACCCTGCGCGAGCTCGTCCGCCGCCGGCCCGACATGCGTCCACAAGCAGCTCACGCCTGCATCGTGGCCGACTACCAGGTACCTATGACGACCTGCAGCCGGAGCCCTCGTACGTACTCTGGACAGAAGCCAAACGTCAGATGCACCGGAATCCGCACTATGCGCAGGATCTCGAGCAACGCGCAGACGCACTCGGACTCTCTCTCCACGAAGACAGACCCGCAGACCACGTCGAGGCCTTGGGAGCGGTCCGTGTCCGCGACACGGATCCGACGGATGCCTGGCTCTACACCCAGCTCGATCCGTCGCTGATGCTGTTTGCCGGGCACGGATCGGGTGGCATCTACCAAGGTTTTCAGCCGACCACCAGCTACGTGGACTTGGCCGTATGCGTGCCTACGTCGCTGCGACAAGAGGCACTCTGCAAGCCAGGCAAAATGATGCCGCTCTACCAGGGCGAAGTGGAGGATGAGGTGGATGACGAGGTAAAGGAGTAAAATGAAGAGACACTGCAGCCAATGTGATAACAATGCATAGCCGGACAGCAAGAACTTTCAAAATAGCGACAGCTGCACTCTGCACGAGAGGCTGTCGACGTACCACCGCCTCCTTTCTCCTCAACGCAACAGCACCGACACGATACATCTCCAAGGCCACCCAAGCCTGACTCCCACAATATACGAGACATGGCCAACGCCTATTCCAAAACACCATGCTCAATTACAGTAGGAAGAACCCAGAGAACAAGAGGAATCCGACGTACCACCGCCAAATACTGCGGTCAGGAGCAGTGCTCCACGCCAACACCACAGGTGCATCTACCATGGACTGTTGCAGGCACAACGTTGATGGTCTACCCGGGCAAGGACGAAGTGGACTGGCAGCTATGGTTCACAGCAAAATAAGAGAGGCGAGACTCAATGTAAACAGGAAATCAGGATTGGTTCTGGAAACCGGAAAAAGTACGAAACCATGGTTAAAAATGAGCATGAAAGCGCAATGAAACTGAACAGTGACAATTGGCAACAAGAGGAACAAGAGGGAAAATGAGTAAAGGAAAGGCACCAAAAATGTAAGAATAAAAGAAAAAGACTAAAACGATAAGGCAATTATAATGACAGAAGACTCCTTCTCTGGGTGGCCAGTCTATATTGCGTCTCCCCATGGCTCTCCACCGCTTCCACGAATCGCACATCGTGCGTATTAATGCAGCCCGTCTGCTGCCACCTTGCTCTTCAGCGTGGTACGAACAGTTCCGTCCCGATACGTCCCGTCTCAACGTCTCAACCCGCGCCCTCTTAACAAGCGCACTGCCCTGCAGCTTGCGTGTTGGAGCCCTCGGGCGCGAGGCTGACACCTGGCCGCTGGCCGGGCCGCGCGCGGCCGCCGGGACCGACCTGGTCGGTCGGCAGCTTCTTTGCTATCGCAGTGAACAGCTCGGTGACGTTCTCGGCGGTCTTGGCAGATGTCTCAAAGAAGAGCAGGCCGGCCTCCTTGGCATACGCCTCGGCTTCGGCCGTGGGAATGGCGCGTTTGTCGGGCTGCTCGGTGACGAGATCGAGTTTGTTGCCGGCGAGGGCGATGATGATGTTTTCGTTGGCCTGGCGCTGCAGTTCCTTGACCCACGCCTTGGCCTTGTCGAGGGAGGACTGAGCGTGTTAGCGACGAAGAGAAGACACGAGCGAGCGAAGCGAAGACAGATAAAACTTACGGTCTGGGTTATGTCGTAGACGACAACGGCGCAGTTGGCGTTGCGGTAGTACATGGGGGCAAGGGACTTGTAGCGCTCCTGGCCGGCGGTGTCCCAAATCTCAAACTTGACGGTGGTGGCTTCGTCGAGCGAGATGGTCTGCGTTAAGAAGGCGGCGCCGATGGTGGATTCCCGATAGGAGTCGAACTGGTCCTTGACGAAGCGGAGGACGATCGAGCTCTGGTATGGTTAGTCTGGTACACGGTGCAACACACAGGCTCGCCGACGCCGGTGACGACAACGTACCTTGCCGACAGCGGACTCGCCGAGCAGCACGAGCTTGAACTGCGCAAAGCGGTTGCTCAGGCCGCGGGCACCGGGGGGACCACGAGCAGCCATGGTGGCGATGTGTGTGGTTGTGAAAGCGGTGGTCGAAGAGAGAAGGGAACGGTGTCGTCGTGTCGTCGCGATGGTAGGCGACGATGCAGTGGCGCGCAGCGATAGACAGGAGTTTCGTCTAGTCTAGTTTGCTGTAGCAAAGGAAAAGAAACGCTCGGACGTTGTGCAAGACCGATGTGTTCGGTGGACGAAGACGGCGGCAGTGATCGGCGAATGCAAGATGAAGTCGATGATGAAATGACAGGGTGCGAGCGATGGGCGGCAGTGGGCGTGTGCGGACTGCAGTGCACCGGGTGGTGGGAGAGAACGGAAAGATGAAGCTGTCAAACGGTGCGAGTGATTATGCGGTGATGCAGAGGCCGTCGATGTGCAGAACGTGACAAGGCAGGTACGAGGGGCGTGAGGCGTTGAGGATGAAGTAATGTCCAGGAACCAAAGAAAGGGAAAGAGCGCCCGAGTGTGGTTGTGTAATTGCTGGTTGGCTCGTGTGGACTGGCACGACTGTTAGATTGTTGGGAAGGGGCGACCCAGAAGGAAATTGGTGCTTTCATGGATGCCTTGGACAGCGGCGCCCGGAACTGGTAGTGGCTGGGCTCCTGCCGTGGCTCGGCTGTCCAGCGACAAACGATAGAGGGGTTGGCGCTGCCGCCAGCCTAGTTCCATTCTCCACAGCGCCGTGGCTGCCCGCTCTTGCCTTGAATTTCCAGTTTCTGTTTTCTCAGTCAGCTGCCGCACCTCCCAAAACGGACTAAAGTGAGTCGCACGTGACTGCACATGGGAGAGAGTCTGTGGTCTGCAGCGATAGAGTGGGGCACTTCCACCGGTTTGGGACAACTACCAGCCAATAATAATGTAGCGTTCGGCAGGGTGACGACACCAGGAAACACCGATCGGCCAGGCCCTGGCAGGGTGCAATTTGGGGGCGCTTGGAGTCCACGCTATTCTGGCGTACGTGTTTGCTACAGGCCAAAAGGGGACACTGCGATGCCAAATCAAGTGTCGATGCGTCACGCTCTCCATGTCCACGCCATTTCAGTTTCCGCACGTCTGTCGCCAACACGACGCCCGCCATCCTCCGGCCGGCCGAAAAGCTTCCCTGAGCGATATTCGACGCTGTCTGCGGCCTGTTTTCATACACGGCCCGACAACCGTGCCAAAATAGCTCGAAATCGCTCGAATCAGCTGTCAACACCTCGGCGTCAACAAAGAACATCGACATCGACAGTCGTCCTCCCACCCCCCACCAACCCTCCCCCGCACCGCCCGCCATGGCGTTTCCGTTCCGCGACATCAACGTCCAGGTCAGCCCCGACTCCTATGTCTTCAAGTCGCCGTCCACGCCCAACGCCCCGGCCCTGACCATCGACCGCCCGACCGGTGAGGTCCGTCTCAACGATGCGGCGCTTTTGTCTGGCAAGCGTGTGACGCGCGTCTTCAGCATCAAGGGCATCCTCGGCATGATCCAGCTGCGCCTGGACAAGTACGTCATCGTCATCACCAAGGACGAGCACGTCGGCCGCCTCAAGGGCCACATGGTCCACCGCATTGTGCAGGTCGATGTCTTGCCCGTCCACGAGCGCCAGCTGAGCGACCCGGACGAGGACCGCTTCCTGAGTCTGCTGCGTGGCTTTTTGAAGTCCGGCTCCATGTACTTCTCCTACACCCTCGACCTCACCAACAGCTTCCAGCGCCAGGTCGCGCAGCAGGACGCCGCGAGCGCGGCCGGCCAGGCCGAGGCCCCGCTCTGGATGCGCGCCGACGACCGCTTCTTCTGGAACCGCTTTGTGCAGTCGGACTTTGTCGAGTACCGCCACCGCGGCGCCCGCGGCCAGCTCGGCGTCCAGGCCGGCATCGACCCCTACATCCTGCCCGTCATGTTCGGCATGCTCGAGATCCACCCGACCACCTTCCGCGGCCGGCCGCTGACCATTGCGCTCATCACCCGCCGCTCGCGCTTCCGCGCCGGCACGCGTTTTTTCTCCCGCGGCATCGACGAGGATGGCCATGTGGCCAACTACAACGAGACCGAGCAGATTGTCGTCCTCAACGACAGCGGCCAGAGCAACCTGGCCGGCTACTCGGGGACCGGCGACATGCAGACGGGTCGCCAGCTGGTGGGCGATGCGGGCAACAAAACCGCCGGCACCGAGACCCAGATCCTGTCGTACGTGCAGACCCGGGGCAGCGTGCCCGTCTTCTGGAGCGAGATCAACAACCTCAAGTACACGCCGCGTCTGGAGGTGCGCGGCGATGCTGGCGGCATCGAGGCCGCCTTTCCTGCCGCCAGCGCCCACTTCGCCGAACAGGTGCGCATCTACGGCGACAACTACCTCGTCAACCTCGTCAACCAAAAGGGCCGCGAGCGCCGCGTCAAGGAGGCCTACGAGAGCATGATCAAGTTCTTCCAGGGCGGCGCCGCCGGACGCGGCGGCAGCAGCAGCAGCAGCAAGGAGCTCAGCGAGAAGCTGCACGCCCTCGACGGGACCACCCCTGCGGCCGCCGCAGCCGCCGCGTCCCGCCGCGGTGGCAGCGTGGGCGGTTTCGCCGAGAGCCAAAAGTACACGCAGAGCCAGCTGGACCGCGTGCACTACATCTACTTTGATTTCCACAGCGAGACCAAGGGCCAGCGCCTCGACCGCGCCAAGCTGCTGCTCGACCAGATGCACGATGCCCTCATCGCTCAGCAGTACTTCCGCGCCGCGGACCTGCCCGGCCACGGTGGCGTGGCCGCCCGCCTGGAGCCCCGCACCGTGCAGACGTCTGTCGTGCGCACCAACTGCATGGACTGCCTCGACCGCACCAACGTCGTCCAGAGCATGCTGGCCCGCTGGACCCTCGAGCGCATGTTTGCCGATCTCGGCATCATGGCCCGCGGCGGCACGCTGGTGGACCAGGACCCGGCCTTTGAGGTGCTCTTCCGCAACCTGTGGGCCGACAACGCCGACCGCGTCGCCGAGAGCTATGCGGGCACCGGCGCCATGAAGACGGACATGACGCGCCTCGGCCGACGCACCAAGGTCGGCGCCCTGCGCGACGGCCAGGTCGCCATCACGCGGTACTGCCGCAACAACTTCTTGGACGGCCCCCGCCAGGACGCCTTTGACTTGTTCTTGGGCGCCTACGCGCCCAGCGAGGCCACCGCCCACTTCGTCTTTGCCGACCGCCGCCCCGTGCTGATCCAGGCCGTGCCTTACGTGCTGGCCTTTGCCGTCTTCTTTTTGCTGGTCGGCCTGTTTACGAGACGGCTGCCTGACGCGGCCGTGCTGCCCATGCGCCTTTTCCTGCTGTTCTGGGCCGCTGTGGCCGCCTACAGCGCCCGCTTTGTCCTCCGCAGCGGCGAGCTGTACGTCAACTGGCCCAAGCTGATCCCGCGCCCGGCGTCGGTCGAGGACTACCACGCGGCCATGACCAAGGCGCGCAAAGACAAACTGCTGGGCGCCTTTGTGGCCCGCCACGAGCGCGGCCTCAGCACCGCCCGGTATATGAGTGCCGAGGAGGGCAAGAAGAGGATTGAGTAAAAAATTGGTGTCCCGGCAAGACATTCTTCCGTATTTTCTTTTGTCTGTCCCTCTTTCTTTTTCGCTTTGGCTGTAGCCTCTGTAGACTTTCCTTTGTTGACACCGGCGATGTTGTTGTGAATCTATTTATTTTGTATTGTTCCCTTCTGGGCTTCTCCTGGGTCGTTTACTTTTTAATCGTTTTGCAAGCAATGCGTCTTGATGCTGCAGCGTTTTAGAAATACATGTAATTTAGATTCTATCGTCGGCGCCTGTTACGATCACGTTGTGTCCAAGTGAAGCAAAGCATCATGAAAGCGTTGGATTAAAAGTTATATGAAAAAGGTGCAAATGCCATACACTATGGTAGATAATTGGAAATGTCGTCTTTGGGTATCGTCCAGAAGAAAAGTACATTGCGGAGAAGTGAGCAGAGCGTAGAAACGATGAAGACAGGAAACAAAAAAATAGGAATGAACGCCATGCTGCGCGGTCATGTCATGCTAAGCGAATTTTTCTGGAAAAGAGCAAGAGGAAATGGCATAGGGAAAGAAAAGACGAAAAGGGACAAAAGAAAAATTGAAAGGACAACAATGGCAACCTGCATATGGTGACCGTCATCACAGACACAGCAGCCAGCGCACACCAGTGTAGATGCCGCGGCCAAAGCCCAGCACGATCCGCGCCAGCATCACCACAAACCACACGTACCACATGAAGCCCACCAACAGCCACTCCACCGTCAGCCAGCCGGCCCGCCGCACCCATCGGAACCGCCGGCGCCGGCGCCGCATCATCTTGTCGATGCTGTCCTCGACACGCTTGACCTGCAGCCGCTGCACCGCCATAAGGTCGCGCGTGACCTCGTCGGCCTCGTCGGCCGCCTGGCTGGCAAGCCCGGAGAGGTCGACCGCCACGCGCGAGCGGACGCGCTCGATGCGTTGGCGCAGCTGCGGTACGGTGGTGTTGGCAAACGTCTCGGCCGACACCTGCCACGACTGGCCGGAGCGCTGCACGGCGCTGCCGAGCACCTGCGCGGCGAGCGGGTAGAGTTCGACCTGCTTGATGGGGCGGCGGGCCAGTTCGGCCGGAGTGGGTCCGTAGGCGGCAATGTCGGCCCACGTCAGCGATTGTTCGCCGTTGCTGCCGCGCACGATAATGGGGCCGCTGGTATCGCCCTTGGGGATCATTGAGCCGGCATCGTCGTCGTTGTCGTCGTCGTGCTCACGGTTGACATCCTTATTGGTCTCGTCGTCGGCATCCGCACTGGTGTCGACCACTGCTGCGTCCAGGGCTGTAGAGGACCGTCTTCGAGTGCCCCCGTTTGCCTTGCTATTTCCGTTGGCTTTCCCGTTGGCTTTCCCATTGCCAGTCCCATTGCCAGTCCAAGATCGTACAAGCACCATGGGCTCGTTGGCACGCCGAGACAGCTCTTTGGCCAACACGGCCGAACTGTACATGGAGGCACGCAGGCGCGCGAGCTCACGGCGCGACAAGGGGCCGTGGTTTTTCTTGCTGTGGTAGGCGGGCTGCGACAGCGACCAGCGAGGGCGACTGCCTTTGATCCCGCCCGTAGCCGATGCGGTGCTAAACTTGCGCGGCAGCGGCTGCAGGCCAAGGCCAAGGCTGCCCGAGATGGAAGATGCCGCGCCACTAACACGGCTGCTACGGCGTGATCTGGTGTCGCTCTCCGAGTAATCCGAGTCTTGGGAGCCGCGGTATGGCTGCTGTAGCTGCCGGCCCAGAGGCTGCAGGGACGAGTTGCGCCGGCGAGCTGCGGCTGGTTCCTCGCCGAGCTGCTTCGCATTGTTGGCTACATCGTCGGCACTGGGTGAGGCATCGCTCACATCGATCCGGGGCGGTTTGAGGCGCTCGAAGCGCGCCGATTGGCGGCTTGGAGGGCGGTGTAAGGAATGTCCGCCACCGCGGCCAAACGATGGCATGATATTGAGGTAGTGTTTTTCGTTGGTCTTGGTGGTTGAGTGAGACTTGTTTGCACCCTGTGGCTCTGACTCGGCATTGGCAGAGGGCGACCGGGAGTGGATCGGCGAGTTCCTAAAGCGGCCCCTCGGTGCTGCCTCGGGCTCGGAGTCATCATCGGACGAGGACTGGGACACGTGGGCAGCAGCGCCTACAGTGCTAGCAGAAGCAGGCGCCGCAGCGTCACCATAGAGGGGCTCACTTCCTTCACGACGCCACAAGATGTCGCTGACCTTGGACACACCGCTCCGCAGCACAGTGTCAATGCGTGGGCCGCCCTTGAAGAAACCACGCAGCGTGCCAGCCGACGACTCTCCCTCCTCGCTGCGGTGATGATCATGATTGCCGTGGTTGGCAAGGCCGGCGATGCTGCTGTGTGATCTGTGGGTATCAAACGTGCCCGCATTTGTACGTGTTCTCAGTTTGCGGAGGGGACTGTGCGTGGCCTTGGCCTCGTTGCTGGACGCAGCACGGAGGTCGTCTGCCAGCGTGCTCACAGCAGTGAGGGGCGCAGAGGTAGACTCGACGTATTCTTGGTATTTTGGCTGCGCCTCCTGCACTTGCTGTTGCGTCTGTTGCGTTTGTTGTTGCTGTAGATGCTGTGCTGGCGCGCTTGACCGTGCACTAGGCTCCCAGGAATCATCCCCGCGGTCAAGCATAATGTTGTGTGCACGGTCCCGTTCCCGTTCTCGATCCCGGCTGTGGTCATGGAACATGCTTTTGACCTTGCCTAAAGTACGGTGGCGCGGTGGCGATGCAGCTCGGCTGGATGGCGGTGAGAGATCACCGCCAAGGGGAGGCACAAATCCGAGGCCATCTTTGGAAAAGGGCCGCAGTTCTGGCGACGTGGGCCGTGATGAGTCGTAGTCCAGAGACAGACGACGACCCACCGACGGAATCTCAAGGCTAGCGCGGCCCTGTTTCGAAGGAGAATCAACAGACGCCGCCGCCGTTGTACTTGTCGGACGTTGAGCTGGCGATGCCGAGTCGGGCTGTGCTCGTTTAGCACTTGACGGTGTGTTGCTTGTAGATACGGTGGGAGGTCCGTTTGCAAGTTTCTGTTCCTTGGAGGCGGCAGCAGAGGTGGCGGTAGCCGCATTCTCCTCCGTCTCACCATTCTCCTTGGCCATTTTGTCCATCATGGTCCTGTTGAGCACCTCGACATCATTGGCCGTGCTGGAATCTGGCCGGGCACGACGGAACCGCCTCCTGTCATTGTCAGAATCGGATGTGTCGGAGAACGAACCCCGACGAAGACGCTGGGCATCGTGGCTGTGGGCGGAGCTGTTGTGGCGGTGGTGAAATGACCGCAGCTCGCTGAGTTTCTGCCGCGCACGCTTCCGGGCGGAGCTAGCCGACAATTGCTCGGGCTCGGGCAAGTGCCCGGCCGCTTTGAGCTGGCCCCCCACAGGGAGAGCATACAACGGCCTCGAGCTCGCGCCAGCAATACCAACATCGGCGGTCGGCATCGAAAAGGTTGCGGGGCCGGTAGAGTCGGATTGATCAGCTCCCGCCACGGCACCAACCATGCCATCATCTCCTCTCTGAGAAATGGGGCGGTACAGCGCCGAGTCCTGCGGGAACACGCGCCGCCAGTGGTGGTCTTCGACGAGCTTCATGTTGTCGCCCTGCTCCAGCCAGTAGACGTCGGCAATCATATCGGCCGGGTCGATAATCCAATCGATACGGGGCCGCTTGGGCTTGGCCGGCGCAGTCTGGCCGGCGGTACGTGAGATCGACGGCGGCGAACTTTGAAGCGCGGCACCGGCGTCGGCAGTATGAAAGGCGGGCAGTGTGTAGCCGCCGAGCATGCGGCCTTGGCCAGTAGCGGTCCATTTGGCCACGTCGTCGATCCAGTCGGTAGTCCTAATCACGTCACCAAACCCTTGGGCCTGGCCGTCGATGGTCCTACGCTCACGGACACGCACTTTGCGGTTTCGGATGTACTGTAGGGGGTTGTAGGGCCGGCCAAGGCGGGTAGAGCTCAGAACAAGGTCACCGTTGCTGTTGGTTCCCGTCATGAAGAGCGGCTGGGGTTGGCCGGGGATTGCGGACGTGGTCGGGGGCGAGCCGAGGCTCGTGGCGCGGCTGCGGGACGTGGCGTCCGGAGTAAGGGGTGGAATGAGTTCAAGCAACCGCCTGTGCTGGGCCAAGAGCTCGAGATGGTCCTTTGCCTTTTGAGCGCGGGCTAATGTTGACTGCGAAAAGTGATAGCGGTACGGCCCCTGGCCACCGGGCGTGCCGTCAGGCAGCAGTTCAAACGGGGGCTGCAAAGGGCTGCCGGTGCTGGTGCTTCCGTGTGGATGCTGTCCGCTGGGAAACTGGCCAGACGAGGACACGCGGCCGCCGCCAGCTCGATCGGGCTTGGGCGACATGGTGCGGGAGATTCTGCGCTGCTGCTGCAGCTGGCGCAACAGGCTGCCACCGACGGCGTTATCCGGGAGCGGTGAGAGGCGCGGCGGCAGCTGCTGCGAGACGGTACGACGAGCAGCACGACGGCGCGACTCGCTGAGGTTGAGGGCCATGTTGACGATCTGGGCCGAGTCGAGGTCGAGAGGCTGCGTGCCGAGTTGGGTGCTGTGCTGGGCCTGTACAGCAGGTACAGCAGGTGCGGCAGGCGGGGCGGCTGCAGCCGCACTCTCTGGCGTCTGCGCTCGCGCCGTGCCGGATGTCGACGTATCGTGGCTCTGTCTCGACGAGCCATTGCTGTGGACGCTGTCCGGCGTGTTGATGTCGGTATTTGAAGTCAAGGTGGGTGTATTCTTTGTATTCTTTTCTGGCGTTTCGGCTGCGACAGCAGCGCGCAAGCCGGCACCAGCAGCACGACCGACGCTGGTCCGGTCCGTATGAGAGCCAACCGTTGATTCACGCTGCGAGGACCGCGTATGAGTCAATGTCGGCTTGCCGTGGCTGATGGATGCGTGGCCTTTGCTCGAGAGGGGATCGGCCAGCAAGAAAGCGCCGCTGGATCGGTTATGTCGGTGGGAGGTACGGTGGCTTGCTGTGCGGGCCGCGCTTGTATTTACGGGTGAGTTTGCGGGCAGGTTGGTCGGCTGTATCGAGTTTGTGTACGATTTCGAGCTCGAGGGTGAAGGGGACGGTTCGTAGTTGTGCCGAGATGAGGAGGAGGATACAGGCGTGAGGTGGCCACTGTCGGGGCCGTGGTCGTGGTGGCCCTGTAGCTGGCGAGGGGAGGCGCCATCGGACGAGGCCCGAGCATTGGGCTGAAGGCGTGCTGCTGATGTTGCTGTTGGTCCTGTTGTAGATGGAGATGGTGTCTCGCTGGAGTGTCTTGGAGCAGACGGCGACGGAGACAGAGAGCCGGCAGTCGAGCCGCCAAAGCTGGGGTCCCGCGAGGCCGAGCTGGCGGCCTCGTGGAGGCTGTCGGCCATGTAGATCGGCGAGGACGCGGTATCTAGCTTTGTATGCGAGATGGTGTCGTGTCGTAATGCCTCGTCAGGAGGGACCGTCTGGTCGATGGACGGGATTGACGTGGATATGAAGCCGCCAAGTGTCTGTGGAATATCCGGTCACATGTCCATAACGACACCACGGGTAAGGAAATGATACTCCTCGTTGCAGTCAAACGATGCAGCTGTCGGTTTAGTGAAGCTGGTCAAAAAGGAGGAAGCCGAAGAATCGTGCTGCCGTCAAAGGCCGAGGTAGGACAACCGAGCGCGATGACGTGGCCGGGTGAACGGCGAATACTGTCGACGCAAGGACGCAAGAGGAAAATCGAATGGACGCTGGTCATACGAGTGTCGGCATGTCAGGAGGAGAAAGCCGCTGGGTGTGTGACGGAAGACGAAAGGGCAGAAACGAATGAGGGATCGTGGAGATGGTAGGACAGGGGCTGAGGGGGGAGTGGCTTCCAAAACGGTTGCGTTGCACCTTCCTTCACGTGTGAAGAGAGAGACGGCTCTTGCCTCGTCGTGACAAATGGAATGACGAGAATGGCAAGAGCGAAACAGGAAAAAGCCAAAAGATGCAGTCACGCTTTCGTCCAACGACCTGTTTGGCAGCTGCACATCGTAGCATATGCGGTCCAATGTGCTGGCAACAGGCTGCAGTGGAAAGGGCGTCTGTTGGCCGTGCTAGCGCTTCTGCCGAAGCACCAAAAATCAGGGAAGGAGGCAGCTGGTGATCAGTAACACAATTACTAATTAGCGAGTAAAGTGACGGTGTGGAGGCATGTTTGGACCCCAGAAAGCTGTTAACTGCTAGTTTTGGTGATGAGTCCCCTAAATACAGCCCCTAAATGACCCCTAGAGCAGCGATCGCCCACGCACTGTTTGGCCCCTGTAGCGGACAATTGCCGTTTTGTCCGGTCTGGTTCTTTTTAGTAGTTCCAGGCCCTTTGGGGTCCATTCTTGCGACGTATTTAGCACACGGACAGACCCACAATAGGCCCATTAATCCTGATTCGGCTGCCTCCAGCTACGACAATTGGCCGATGGCGAGGGCAGGGGCGGCAATTGCGGGCGCCTGGCCAGGCCATGGCCAAGTTGGCTAGCGGCCGTCAGAACCTTAAGATAGAAACAGGCGAGACAGGACAGGGCTTAAATACGCGGCTTTCATAGGACCCCAGGCATCGCAAAGACATTCTCGCATGTCGAGTTCACCTTTATGGATATTTTTATAAGAAATAACTATGTAAAGAACGACTTCATAATATGCATAACATGATGATGGGAATATGATTGCAATGGCCGGTTGCTAAACTACGGGCATGATAATGAAAGGGCAGACGCAGAAAACGGCAGATGAAACAGTGCAACCCAAAACGCCGCAGATGTCCAGTCACATGCAAAACGAGCGTCCCTGTCCTCTCTAAAACACCGTCAACGCACTCACGTAGCCGTTGCGCAGCACCTCAAAGACCAGGCCCGGGAACCCGTACAGTGTCGTCGTCGAGTCTTCGGTGCCCTTGACTCCGCGCAACGTGCTGCTGCCGCTGGTTCCAGCGTTTCCTCCTCCACCGCCTCGACCGCCCCGGCCGGCGCCGCTCGAGGCGACCCGCTGGCTCTCCTCCCAGCCGCCGAGCAGCTCGATGCTGCTGCCGGGGCTGTCGCCCCAGCCGCGGTTGAGCACCATGCCGCGCTGGCGCTGGCGGGCCTCCTCGTCGGAGGCATAGATGGGCCGCCAGGCGCGGTGGAGTTGCTCCTCGATCTGGGCAAAGGGCGACTCAGAATCGACGGTGGCGCCGGGCGGCGCGTAGGCAATGGACCAGCGACAGCGGCGGTGGCGGTTGAACGGGTAGGAGCCGGGGACGTTGCCGTGCAGGACAAGTTTGGTGGCCACGAGGCGGTCGGGGGCCGCGCTCTTGAGGGGCCGTTCGGGCGGGGGCGCACCGCTGCCACCACCACCACCACCACCAGCAGCGGCCTCCAGCGATGGTGGCAGCCGCGAGGGCGTGGTGGGCGTCGAGACGAGGACGTCAAAGCCGAGGTAAAAGTAGTTGAAAAAGCACTCGCTCGACACGTTGCCCGTCATAAATTCGTCCTCTGCTGCGTCGTCGCCGTCGTCATCGTCCGAGGACGCCGTCGGGATCGAGGACTGGTCCGTATCCGTCAGCGTTTCGTCGGGACGCCGGCCGTGAGCGGCGTTGTAGCTGTGCGGGTCGCTGGTGCCGAGACTGCCCGCAGCATTATTGGTGGGCCGTCGCGAGCGGCTGGTGCTGGCGGTGCGGATCTTGTGGATGTACATGCGCTGGTCGCTCTTGCGGTAGATGGCGTCGGGCGGGCCCAGCTCGGCGACGAGCTCCTGCGGCGTTGTTTCGCCCAGTGTGATCCAAAAGAAAGACGACGCGTCGGCCGAAGCAGCCGCGTCGTCGGTGGACGTAGGCTGTGCTGGTTGTGCCCATCGACGAAACAGTTGCAGCTTGCCGCCGCCGTGGATGTTGACCAGCGACACCTCGTCGGGCGCGACGTCTTTGCCCTTGGCAAGGGGTGTAAACGACTTGATGGCCGGCAGCACCTCGGTCCACAAGTGGTCGCGCGCCTGGGCCCATGAGTCGCCGCTGAAGACGGCCATGGAGACGGCAGCCAGGTTGCTGGGCGTCGACAGCAGCGACACGACATCCTTGTCGGGCGAGTAGGCAGACCGTGCCATCGGAAAGGTAAAGGCGACGCCGGGATACGACAGAACATACGTCCCAGTGCTGTTGCTGCTACTTCCATTTCCTTCGCCCGGGACAAATTCGCCGTCGTAGGTCGGGCCGAGGAAGCGCGAGTAGATGTGCCGAAAGGTCGGACCGCCAGTCGGCGCCGGCGCGTCGGCGCTGCTGGGCTTGACCAGGTCGCGGTCCTTATTCTGCTCCCTGAAGAAGATGTGGTTTTTGGTGAAGTCGAGCACCTCGATCAACCGCAGTCGCTGTTCGGGGCCGTCGAAGCGCAGGCGGAGGCCGTTGGCTGGCAGGGCGAGGACGACGGGGTCACGGACGGGGTCGGTTGGGGAGTAGGTGAGGTCGAGTTTTGGGAAACGGTGAGGCTCCGCCTTGAGCCGCGTCAGAATGTCATGGAGGGACGCGCCGAGGACTGTGACATACAGGTGCAGTGGTTAGTAGAGCCATGACACGCTGGTTTCTGTACCACCCGCATTGTTCTTTGCAACTCACCTAGAAAGCCCAGCGCCCGTCCCGGGTGGAGCTGTGCTGTGAAGAGAGACATGGCTGGGAGGAGAAGGGGGGCTTTATGGGGAGGCTGTCGAAAAGAAAAGTATGCGAGGATATATCGATCGAACCTGGAGAGACGATGGCCGGTGAGTCGTCTCCAAAGCAAAGGCCAACCCCTCGAGGTTCCGCGAGCGCTCAATTTCGCAATCTCGTCGCTTGTCACGCCGAAAGCTTTTAGTGAGCTTACGATGGAGAGACGAAAGGAGGAAATGAAGGAGAGAGATTTGGAGGGAAAAGAAATAGACGTTCTGTCTTCCAAAGTTGTCAGGTGCGAGTCACTAACCGCGATGCCTTGTGACGCCGTTGGTCGCTCCTGCCCGCCATGGACGCGGGACAGCGTGCCTGCTGTGGCGGGGCAGCTCTAGGTGAGACGTCATATGGCAGGTCCCTTCGGCGCTAAGCCCAGTGGGGCCAGGCCAGGCCGCGCCAACTGACGCCAGTTAACGGCAGGCGGCAAGCGGCAGGCGGCAGTCGACGGTGGAAGAGAGGCCAATACGAATTATACCAAAGCCATCTGAACAGCCAACAGATTTGGAACAATTCACACTATCTTCACACCTCATTTCACACCTCACTCGAATCAACTCTGCATTCCAACAACATAGAACAGTAACATGATCCAAAGCTGGAAGCAAAACTACGACCAAAGCCGGCAGGGGGGAGTGCCCTGTCTGCACAGCGTGAGCGATACGACCTCAACTCCAATATCACCACCAACGGCAGTTTACCCCCGATGGATGTAAACAAGTTGCCCGGATATGTTGTACAATGTCTCCTGTTTTCATGTTGCAGCCATCGGTGACATCCCTTCTTGGGGTTCTAACTGTGACTTGAAACGGTAATCAATTGCTGTCGTCTGCCTGCCTCTGCCTGCTTCTGCATGTCTTCTACCTGTATTCTATCTGGCTCCCAATTTCAATCGCAAGTAACGTCATCGCCCTTCATCCCTTAAAACAGACTATTCCATCACATGCACTCCATCTTCTTCGCCGTTGTGGCAACCAGCCACACTCGTCTCCGTGCTTGCCCCCTGTAGCGTTTCCAACGGCACGAAAGCCGCTGCTTGGTAACCTTCCATGCCGGCCGCGACGTTTCTGTCTTCCGTGACGCCGTCATCTGCGGCAGTTCCGTTGTCTTCCTTGGCCTGCTTCCGTGCTTGACGGCCGACGCTGTTGCGCACTCTTGGCCGTCCGCGGCCTCGTTTCTGTGTCGGCCGTTCGCTCGGCTCGACGGACTCTTCGATGGGCGCGCCACGCGTCGTGCTTGTGCTTGTGCTGCTGCCGCAGTGGGCGCCAGCTCGATTGCGTCGACGGTACGTCGATGGCTGAGAGGGCAAGGGTATGCTGGCCTGCGCGTGGGCCTGCGCTCGATCTCGCGCTTGCTGCACCTCGGCCATGCGCGTCCGCCCGGGCCACTCGGGTGCCTGTCGCTGCAGACGGCTCGTGCCCTGGCTGCCGGCGCCGCACGCCCGCTGGTGATGGCCCTTGGTGTTGCCGTCGTCGTCGTCGTCGGCGGCGGCGCCCTTCATCTCAATCTCAAAGCGTGCCGTGCCAGTGTGGCCCGTCCAGTGGCCCAGGTCGACCCAGTCGCGGTCGAAGCCCGCCGCCACCAGGTACGCCTCGCCCATTTTGATGTTTTGGACGGTAATGTAGTTGGTCAGCAGCTCGAGACGGGGCAGGCTCGCGTCCACCCCGGCGTCCACCCCGGCGTCCACGGCCTCCTCCGCCAGGATGCGCGCGTTCGACGGTGTCGGCTGGTCCCACGATGTGTACGGCCGGTTGGCAAAGAGTTCGCGGTCGCGGGCGTCGAGCCGCGCGCGGACGGCCCGGTCAAACTGCTGCTGTTTCTTGATCTCGCCGCCATACAGTGCGCGGAAGGCTTGCTCTTGGACCACGGTGAGACGCAGCAGCAGCACGGCGTCGCGGTAGCGGTACCAGGACGTCAACTCCTTGACCAGAATCAGCTTCATGGCGTCGGGCAGGTGGTCCCAGCGCGGATTCTGTGGCGGCGGCGAGGGAAAGGCCACGGGACGTCTGGAAGGCATCGCGGGCTGGGGCTGTGGCTGTGGCTGGATGGGAACGGTCTCTGTCTCTGGACGTGTGGCGATGGCTGTTTCGTCGTCGGAGCTGTCTGAGTCGACAATGACAATCACGTTGGGCGTGGCCTTGCCGTGCTGGGGTTTGGTTTCGTTCTTTTTGCTGTCGACTTGCGTCTCTGCGTGGGCTTTTGGCCTCTTTGCGTTCGTGGAGGGCACGTCACCCGCGCCGTCCTCGCGCTTTCTCTTCTTGGTCGCCTTGTCACTCTCGTCCTCCTTGGCCCTGCCAGTGTCCTCGGTCTTTCGGCCACATTTACGCCAGTTGATGTAGCTGCTTTGGAGGATCGAGTTGCTGGCTTCCAGGAAGTGCGTCAGAAACTCTGTAATGTCCTTTTCGGTGGGAAGAACGGCCTCCACGGGCTTTGACGGATCCGATTGGGATTGAGACGCTTGGTGGGCGTGTGTCTTTTCCAACTTGAGAATGTGGCCGGCTGTTTTTTGCAGTTGGACCAGGGCAGCACGCGGTGTACGTTCGGGCGGGAGGGCGTTGTTGGTGGTAGTGGTGGCGGCGGTGGTGGTGGCGGCGGTGGTGGTGAAGAATGAATGCAAAAGGTGCTCAAAGTTGAGAGGATGTGGAGGGAGCAGACGCCGGCGTCGTTGCAGCCTTGGATGTTTGAGACGCAGGAGCTTGACGACTAGGAGGCAAAGGCTCTTGGTGTGCCGTGTGCTGGTGATTGTTTGGTGCAAAGACGGACGTTGGGTGGACCAGCCGCCTGTCCGTCGACTCTTGCACTTCATCTATCACTGATGCAGGGTACCTGCCTGGCTGGCTACGCATGGTCGAAGCACGAAGAGAATGCATGGTAGTGAAGCGAGGTGTGGTCGTGGAAGCAGAAAGTGAAAAGGTGAGAGAAGAGTGAGAAGGTGAGGACAAGCTAAGGACGCTCTCGCGAGGTGACATGGAAGTGACAAAATCAAAATCACAAGGCAAAACGTCAGCAATGCGTCAAGAAAGTGAACAAAAGGAAAGATTGAAATGATGTTCAGGATCCAGACGGAATATATTTTATAACACGCCCAAGAAGACGACCACCTCCGTTCCAACAACCATCTATTCACGTTCTCCCATCAATGTCCCATGCCACAGTATTTTGGCCGACGTAGAGGTCAATCATGCACAGGACAATGTCTCCAGCTGGTCGGCAACGGTGGGTCACTTTTGACAAACCTACACCACTCCAGGACGAGAAACGAGTGAATGGGACGGGCCCGGGACCACACAGGCCCGTAATAGAGAATGCGCAATGGTGCCCGTCCGCCATCCATGGACTAAAAGGTGAAAAACATGCAATGAATCTATATGAATCTATTGTGCTACTTTGCAGTCACCGCTGGCTCAGAACGCCTGCTAAAAATACCTCGAAAACATGAAATACAATAAAGCAAACCCGAAAACAAACAATACTCCATTGTTCATGCCATCCAATATGGGCACCCAAGCTCGTGACCTCTTGTATTCAAAAATCATCACGCATTCCATGCCGCACAATGTCCTACAGAGGCACCCCGTCTACTGCACGGTCGTGTCGGTAAATGGCGTAAAGTGGGCGCGGTTCTGGTACCGCGCGCTGTCCAGGTTCGGTCGGCCGGGCTCTGCCGACGGTTCGCGCGAAAAGGCAAGCTCGCTTGCCGCCTCGACGCGGTCGTCGTCCTCGTCCATGGTCTCGTCCACGCCCCGCTTGGCAGGCCGGCTTCGACTTTGTGCGTCGCGCGCAGGGGATGCGTGCGAAGACGGCACTCCGAGAAAGGTACTGGCTTCGACCCGCGTTGTTCGTGACGGGCGGTCGTTATCGTCGGCCATGTCCTCCATACGAGCGTCGCCGTGCATTCCATCATCACCGGCCATCTCCTGCTCGGCCAGGGCCACGTCCCGCCGCGCAGTCAGCAGGTCGCCAAAGGACAGCAGCATGTGCTTGGCCTCTTCGTCCAGGCTGATGCAGCACCGAATCTGCGACAGGTAGTGCAGCGCGTCGACGAGGCCGATTCCGAACATGGACATCAGGTACGCCGTCACCACCGGCGGCGCGCGCACGTTGCCCGTCTCGCAAAACACGAGCACCTTGCCCGTCGAGACGCCTTGTCCATCCGCCGGCACGTCGTGCAGCATATGGTGGTTGATGCTCTGGACGGCGGCTGGCAGCGCTCGCAGCAGGCCGTCGATGCCGGTGACGTCGACGCACTCGGACCGGATGCCTATCGCCCCGGTGACGTGCTCCACCACGAGTAGCCGTGCGTCGGCTAGCCGGCTGTCCCGCACTGCAATCACCTTGGTGATGCCCGCATCCTGGAGGAACGCACGGTCGCGCGCCGCATTGGCCGGGCCCAGATACAAAAAGGGGAGGACCATTTGTGCTTCGCGGCGCATCTCGTATTTCCATGTGTTGTAGGATACGGGGCGCGGCCAGTCGCGCTGCTCATACACGAACTCGCCCATAATCTGATGCAGCTGTGGCCGCGTGAGCGTCAACACCGGTGCGTTGCGCATCGTCGGCATCATCACCGCCGTCGCCCTGGACGACGTTGGTGATGCTGACTCTGTCTCCTTCAGACCGAGCAGCCGCCTCTTCTCCTGGACCGCCTCGAAATGCCCCTTCTTGCGTTCCGCGTAGGTGCCGGTGTTGGTGATTGGTAATGGAACGGGAATGTGCGGAAACGATGGCGCAGCGCCCTGGTACTCGGCATTGGCGACCACGCCCTCCGGCAGCTGCAAGGAAAGACTTGGCCCGGGTTGGAGCAGGCCCTCAAGCATATCAAAGCCGCCATCCATGATCGCAACGGGGCCGTGCAAAGGCGTCGGCCACGAGGTAGATGGTGCGCAGATGCGTGAATGCGGCGCTTTGCTTATGAGAATGATGCGCGAAAAAGAGACTCGATCAGAGAGTCAGGACAGTTCGATGTAGAAACGCCTGCGGACAAACTGCCGCCCCTGGACAATAAATTCGTGCTGAGACAACACGTACGAGGCGTGGCCAGGTGAAGCGAGGTGAGGGCCTGTCAGCGATCAGAGAATAAGAGAAATCGACGCCGATGCGCTCCGAGACACTGCGACACCCAACAGCGGGATGGCGATATTGAAAATTAATCTAGAGCGTCGCCGGGTGGCCGTACGTCCTGCGGTGCTCGGCGGCTGGTGCTCTCTGTCTGTCGTAGCGAGTACTGTGTGTGGCCGCAAAAGGACTGCGTTGTTTGATTTTGTGATGTTGAGATTTTGTGATTTGTGCATTTTTGTGTTGTGACGTTGTGCGGCTCAGAAAAGTCGGAGTTGGGTGAGAACGACTGGCACCACTGAGCCTTGCGGTGTTTCTAGATTTGGCGCAGCGACTAGCTGCCGGTAGCGCCTTCCGCCAACACAGCCTTGCGAGCGGACATCGGCGCGTCGATCCTGCAAACTCGCCTCACTCACACAACCGAACGTGCGGCAGGTGCGATTGGCGAGCTGCGCGACACCCAGGATCCCGGTTGTTCCTTCCCTCGACACCGGGTGCATTCCCATTGGCGACATCGGCCATTCACTTCGTCGTTTGCACTTTCCTCGTGTTTGAAACTCCTTCTCATAACATGTTCACGACCGTCACTCTTGCCTCATTCACTCCGAGCAGCATGCAGTCACCACAAAAAGGAAGCCGCAGGTGGCAGCTGCGTCCGCGTAAATATGTGACGATGCTCCCATAACTGTCTCCTGCTTTTTCTTTTCTCTCTCTGCGTTTTTGTGTCTTCTTCTTCTCGCGTAGAGCTGCCACCGTCCTCCCGGCAAGCCTATTGTTCCACGGCGAGCCTCATACGACTACACACTCAGCATTTCTTTGTCTCCAGCCATTGTAGCCATGTCTTCCAGCAAGGTACAGACTGGTTCCAATGCCCTCGACAACGACGACGGAGATGCAGTCCCCGTCTACGCTGAAAACGACAAAGCGGGCATTCTCAATCTCACGGCAGCCGCCAACACGGACGTGGACCTCAAAAACAAGGCCCAATGCCCTATTGACGAGCCTCTCGTCTTGACGCTCACCAAGCCCTTCCGCGGGAAGCCCGCGGCGGACCTCGGCGGCCTCAGCGGTCTGCCTCTCGAGCTCGTCTTTGCCATCTGCCGCGAGCTGGACGTCAAGTCGTGCCTTGCCCTTCGCCAGGTCAACCGCCGGGCGCGTGAAATTGTGACGGGAAGCACCGAATACGTCGCCGTGATCACGCATGCCCTTGGCATCGTGCAGGCCGTGCTCTGGTCGGGCATGGGCACGCGTGTGACCTTTCCCGACCTGCATCGGCTGCTCTGCACCCATGAGTGCATGATCTGCAGCGTGCCCGACGGCTGGGACAGCTACCGGTTTTACGACTCGCGCGCGCCCATGCAGCGGCCCCTGCTGGCACCTGGCATCAAGAGCATGGAGGTTGGTCAAGCCGCACTCGACCAGGCTGTCATGAACCGTCCTCCAAGCGCAATAGACACGAAGAATGCAAACCCGGACAAGACGGGGCCGGTCGACGCAGCGCCGCCCGTGCACAAGAAACCGACCGCGCTGACGGCGATGCACATGGCCCAGACGAACGACCAGCACGCCAACCACATCAAGGTCCATGAAATGGCCGCCGGGCTGTACCTGTTCCTGCCGACACTGACGCGGTGCTGCAAGCCGTGCCTCGAAGAGTCGCCCCGGGTCCGTGTTGTGCCGGTCGTCAAACTGCGGACAGCCTTTGACCTGCCGCGGCGCTACTTTCTGCCTTATGTGATCACACCGTGGCTCTCGAAAAACAAGATGCTCACGCCGCCAGCGCCAGAATCCAAGGCCAGACGCGCAAGCCCCTGTCCCGGGTCCGACGGTTACAAGATGAAGGTCGGCATGGTGACCCGGGAAGCGGCGTTGCAGATCCTCTTCGAAGCCGGGTTCTCGGCCAGCCGTGCCGAAGAGTTGATTTACATATCTGGGTACCAAGACGAATTTAGCTGGTGGAGCGAGTTGAAAGAGCGAGAGAAGTACACTGTCATGATGCCCTTTCTCGACCGCCACACCAACGCGGCCGACGGGGGCTACACATGCCGCGGGTGCGATGCTGCCATCCAGAAGCTGTATGGCCATCTCAAGGTGAATCTCGTCTACATGAACACCGTGTTTGCGACCGAGGCAGCTTTTTTCAAACACTTTGCCGCCTGCCCCGACGCCATCGAAATGTGGAAAACGCAAAGCGAAGCCTAGACGAAGCACAGACGCAAGATGCAAGGGATATGGGACAGATATGACGGCCGGGGAGTTGCGTGCAGGATAGCAAAACTTTTGGAAACAATGGAAGCACAAGACCATAAATATGTAGCAAACAAAATAGATGCACTTTTTAACGGCTGGATTAACGCTGTAAATTTTCACACCAAAGTCCCTTTTCGCCTGACATTTCGTACAGTACAACTCAGACACACACACTGCCGTGTCGTCTAGACATGTCCCTGGACCGCCTCATGCCCGGTTGCCCCGCCGGCCCTCGGACGCAGCCAACGAGACGCTGCTCTCGTTGGCCAGCGGCGACGGAATGTCGGGCGTAACAGAGCGCGAGTCGGACGTCACAGCCGGCCGACGCGGCCCCGAGACAGACGACTTCTTTCGTCGCCGCTCGGACGCGCTCGATCCCGTGCTCGTCTTGCGCGTGACCACCGACTCGCCCGGGTCGTCGACATCCAGTGTGGGCGTCGCGCTGCGCGAGCTTGTTGTCTGTGTCCCGCCGCTGCCGCCGCCGCCGCCGCCGCCGCCGCCGCCGCCACCACCGACAGGCAGTGCTGTCATGGACATGCTGCTCCGACGCGAGCTGTTGCTGCGCGTCCGGCGGTGCTCGCGCTCCACGGCCGCGTGCCGCGGGTGCTGCGGGTGATGGCCGTGCTTCTCGCTGGAGCTAGCGGCGCCGGTTTCGCTGCCACCGCGGGGCGTGTGCGGCCGGTGCGGGTGGTTGTGCTGGTGATGGTGGTGGAGGTGGCCGTGGCCGTGCGGCACGCCGCGGCCGGGCAGCCACCAGAACCAGCCGCCGGTCGCACGCCGCAGGGCACGGTCCTGCTCCTTGAGCTTCTGGCGCACGAGGGCGCGGCGCTCGTTTTCGCGGTCCCAGTACTCTTGGCGGTACAGCTCCCAGTTCTCGCGGAAGGTGGGCGAAAAGGGCTTGGCAAGGAGCAGCAGTTTGACATAGTCGCCACCGGGCGCCAGATCCTCTTCGTGTCCGTTGTTGTTGTTGCTGCTGCCGGTGTGACCAAATGCGGTGCCCTGCCGGCGGAGGCCGCTGCCGCCCTTTTCTTCGTCGCGATCGAGCCCGACCGACGACGGCACCGACGGGTGGTTGTGCCCGCCGGCCGCGCCCGTGTTCAGGTTGAGCTCGCGGTCGACCTCGCGCAGCAGCGCCGGCTCCACGTAGCGGTACGACGAGGCGCCGCCCGAGTTGGACAGCAGGCCGTACGTCAGGAACCAGCCGAGCGTCGCCAGCCATTCGGCCCACCACGGCCGCTTGAGCAGCACCAGCTTGCAGTTGATGTGGCGCAGGCCGCGGTTCGACACGCTGAACCAGCGGCGCGGCCAGCGCACGCCGCGGTCCCAGATGCCGGTGGCCCAGACGAGGGCGGCCGTGATGATGCCGCCCATAAAGCACACCTTTTCGAGCACGTCGACGACCCAGTAGACAGAGCCGCCGACGCCGCTGCCGTCCTCGCGCGGAGCCAGGAACAGCGCATAGCCGAAGCCCAGGTTCCAGGTGCCCAGAATCAGCAGGAAAAACGTGTGGTGGCGGCGGCGGGCCCGCAGGGCCAGGTATTGTGCGCGAAGCGACGCCTCGAGGATGAGCAGGTTGAGGTAGATCATGGACGGCGAGCTGGGCGTGTGCGACAGCGGGTCGCTGGCCTTGGCGGCGGTGCTGGCGGCGATGGAGCCCGTGTCCGAGCCTCCGTCGGAGCCATTGCCGCCGGCATCGCTGCCAAACACGCCGCTGGTCGGTCGGGTGGCGGGTATGTCGCGTCCAGGCAAAGGTGCTCCCTTGACGAGGGAGTCAAGGTCGTCGGCCATTGTTGCGATGCACACGTGGGAAGGGAAGGAGAATGGGCGAGATCGGAGCACCCACGGTCGCGTCTGATCGTCAGGCAACCCAGAAACACTTGTAGCGTCGTCGTCGAGAATGTAGTGGGAGCACACCAACAGGTGCTGTAGTCAATAAAGGGCGGGTGGTGCCAAAGGGCGACTTGGCGACAGTGGCCCTGTGGCAGTCGGTGTGCGCACTATCCGCGAGGCGTCGATTGCCGCTGTCTATGCCAAATGCCGAAATAGAGCTCCCAATGATGTGGAGGAACCGGCGTCGAAAGCACGCCGACGGGATGGTCTGCACTTTGGGCCAGGGTCCGTGTGTACTGTCGTGCGTCGTCAGTAGCTGATTTTCAGTGGCCGTTGTTCCTGCTGGCGATCATCGTCATCCAAATGCTCGTGTCAGATGACTAAGCGGAGCTAGTGGGTCACAAGGACAAAAGGACGGGCACATTGCGCGGCAGGCGCGATGGCGGCACGAGAACAACAGGATCGGCTTAACAGCATGATTGGAATGTCCACGGACGATACATTGGCTCAGGAATGGAGGGGCACGGCCCAGGAATCACCTTGCGCTCAATGGAATATATTGAGATTTTGAAGCGTCGAGTGGTTGTTTGGCGGTTCGCATGTGTATTATGACATAGTTAAGCGGAGCCTTAGTACAGGGTGGGACAGCAATACATTTAGCGAGCCTTATAACGCTTTTTCGCCAAAATACAGCGCTTGCCTGTGGGCTGCCAGCTGTAGAAAGCGTCTCTCAGGGCCGTCCTCTAGCGTCTTTTTGTTAAGGATACCCCTAAAGCCTCGGCTCTGGCTTACTTCTCGACCCAGCAAGCGCGGCGGAAAAGTGGAGTGCCCTGTTTCCGTGGTCGAGAATTCCCGACAATAGCCAAAGAGCCAAGTGGTCATTCGAGCCTTCCGCCACAAGACCAGGCACGTTGCTGGATTCTTACGGGCGCTTTCCCTTTTTTTCTACTCCACGACGTACTATTTTTTTTGTTGGGAAGGATGTCGCGCGCAAATAGAAGGGGCAAGGGAAAGCACGGGAAAGAGGCCCCCATAAACCGACAGAAGCAGGAGCGACGGCAGGGGAAGACGACGTAAAAAATAATTAAATAAACACGACGGGCAGGAGCGAACGGTTCAGTTCACAGGCACGCCCGAATAAATCCTCACATCCTGCCATCTCTTTCCTTCCTGACAGCCCGCTCCTTCCTTCCCCCACACTACCGATTCTTAAAGCAACTTCGCGAACAAAAGGAGAAAGAACGAAGGACCAGAATCCCCTGAAAATATCACGAAACATCGCCCTCGACAAAAGTCTCCTGAAACATCCTCATCTTCACAATCAATTGGCCGTTTTTCTCCAACACCAACGCACTCACAGACATCCACACCACTCCTGGCAACGCCTGCCTAGCCGGCAACCCCGACGAACAAACGCCGTGCTATGCATACCCTCTGCTGCCTGAGCTGCGTCGGCGAATCGTGACACGGAATTAGGATTTACGGGCTATAGCGTCCCCAAATTCCCCGTTCAAGCTTTTGCAGACTTTCCAGCCTCTCCGCTTTGTTGCTGCAAGCCCGGTTGGCCGCCGCCCTTGGGCCCTTAATAACCCTTCCCCTCCCTTTCCGCCGTCCTCCTTCAGCTTAGCCCCCCTTCCGACGCCAGTGATGCTCCGAAGTCCTCAGCATCTCGTCTTGCAGCTGTCCGTCGCACCCAGTCGACGCACATTGACCACTGCCGCTGCATCGTACAACTCCGAAAAGTCTCCACCTCCACCGCCGCCGCCGCCGTCTTCGCGCTCCTCTCATAGTCACGCGCAGTCGCACGCGTCCGCCACTTCGTCGAGCGCGCCAGCAACTCCTGCTGCTGCTGCAACTGTCCGTGTCTTCCGCCTCACCTCCGAACCCAACGTTGCGGCACGCAACAACCGCCGGTCCGCCATGGCCAGCCAGCCCCAGACACAGCCGCGCGCGCGGTCCGAGGAGCGGCCTGCATCGGAGGCCGATGGCGACCACGCCGAGGCCGCGCGGCAGACGCGCACAACGTCCCGGTTCACTTCCTACTTTCCTCTCGGCTACCGGGATGCTGTGCACCAATGGGTGAGTTTTTTTTTTTTGGTTTACTTCTCGCCACTCCACTGCTAACAATAACAGTGGCACAGTGTCTCGGCATCCGGCGCCGAACGCGGTGTGCTGGCCTATGTCCCATTTATCCGCGAGGCCAAGCTCGGCTCGCAACCCGACCTCAGCATGACCGCCCAGCAGCAACAGGCCGGCGGGGGCGCTCTCTCGGCCATCAATAGCGCCAACAGCAAGGACCCGTACGGCCCCCGTCTCTGGCGGTCACAAATGGTGCCGCTGTCCGGAAAGAACCGTGCGCTCAACGAGTACTCCATCGAGCGCGTCGGCGAGAAGCACGAGGAGACTCTGGTGATGCTGCACGGCTACGGCGCTGGCCTCGGGTTCTTCTACCGCAACTTTGAGCCCTTGAGCCGGCGGCAGGGCTGGAAGCTGTACGCGCTCGATATGCTGGGGATGGGCAACTCGTCGCGCCCGCCATTCAAGGTGCGCGCCAAGGACCCGCAGGCCAAGATCACCGAGGCAGAGAGCTGGTTCATCGACTCGCTCGAGGAGTGGCGCAAGATCCGCAAGATTGAGCGTTTCACACTCATGGGCCACTCGATGGGCGGCTACCTGGCCGTCTCCTACGCGCTCAAGTACCCCGGCCACCTCAACAAGCTGATCCTCGCGTCTCCCGTCGGCGTGCCCGAGGATCCGTACGCGGTCAACGCGGCGATGCCCGAACCCGATGAGTCGACGCTCGTCAACGAATTTACACAAGATCAGAGTGCTGTTGCCGAGGGCAGCAGCCCGGCCAACGCGGCCACAACGACCACGACGACCACCCCGTCCTCCAACCACAACTACACCTACAACCACAACCACCACAACAAGAAGACGACGTCGGCCAAGCCAGAACGCCGGCCGCTGCCGGGCTGGCTTGTGTGGCTCTGGGACGCCAACGTATCGCCCTTTAGTCTGGTGCGCGCGTCGGGCCCGCTGGGCCCGCGTCTGGTGTCTGGCTGGACGTCACGGCGGTTTAGCCATTTGGAGCAGGACGAGGCGGACGCGCTGCACACGTACACGTACAACCTGTTCCGGCAGCGCGGCAGCGGCGAGTACGCGTTGCCGTACCTGCTGGCGCCCGGCGCGTACGCGCGCAGCCCTGTGATCAACCGCATCCAGAACGTGGGCCGGCAGGTGGTGACGCCCGCCCGCCCGGCGACGGCGACGACGCCGGCGACGCCGGAAGTGAAGGAGACGGGCTTCCCGATTGTCATGATGTACGGCGACCACGACTGGATGGACGTGGCGGGCGGGTACGCGGCCGAAGAAAAGATCAAGCAGCGGATCGTGCAGGCGCTGCTGCACGGGACGCCCGACGAGAAGCGACGCGAGAACGGCAGCGCCAAGGTGCTGATTGTGCGCAACGCGGGCCACCACCTGTACCTGGACAACCCGGACGAGTTCAACCGGTTCATTGACGACGAGCTGGCGGAGACGCAAAAGTCGGAGAAGCGGCGACGGCAGCAGTTGGAGTAGGGCGCAGCTGCGGCATAAATACACATAAACGAGGAGCGATGCATTGCGATGACCAAAAATACACAGACACAGACACACACAACCAAGGAGCGGCGTTTTACCTTTTGGATTTTTTTTGTCACGCATAGGAGCTTTGTCACTCATAGGAGCTTATTTGTTTTCATTTTCATTCATCTTCTTGGGAAACGCTATATATATTTTATTCACAAAATTTCATTGTCGACTTTGCGACCATTAGGCAACGACAAAACGTCACGGAGGAGGACAGGACAAGCATGACGCATTGCGCTGTGTGGCGCCAGCATAGGGCATGGAGCATAGGGTATAGATTCGCGAGGCATAAGGCCATCTACGGAATGCCGAAGACAGAAAACGGAAGACGGAAACACGAGGGTTAAGCAAGGGCATTCAGTAGTGTTTCAACAGCATCACATAGGAGCAACATAAGAGGCGTTCAATGCTTGTCATGGCTAGACAAGTTTGTACCTTTGTAGAATGCACTCTCAATCGAGTCATTGACTGTTCTCACATTGTTTATGTCGCACTGTTTTCAAAACAATCTCGATTGCGTACGGGTTGGGTGCTCTTCTCTGTCGAAAGGGTATCTAGGCTTTGTAAAGGAATGGAAGAATTTTAATAAAAGGCGGGAGAACCAGAGTGTCAAAATGCAAGTGAAAGGCAACCGGTACCACCGGCGTGCACAAAAGTATAAAACCCAGAAACCAGTGACCCACGGGGACATGTCCCGTTCCCCAAGACGGCCATACATCAACGAGAGCAAAGCAAATCAAACCAAAATCAAATCAAAGCAAAACAGTGCCACCTTCACCATCTCCACCACTATTAATTGCGCAACCAGAATCACAAGACGCTCGCCTTCGCCTCACAAAAACACAAAGGTATGAATCAAAACGCTCTCCTGTCTCCAACGTATGTACCCTCGCATCCTCGATGAATTTGTGAATTTGTGAATTTTTGTCATTTTTTGTCGTTTTTTGTCATTTTTTGTCTTGTCCTTGCTTCGCTCAGCAGTGGACAAGATAACACAACTACTGGCTTGCTGGTTCATCATTTTCGTAAAAAAGGGGGCGCTTGTTCAGATGCAAAAATAGACATTAAGGAGTGACGTGAGGATACGCTGCGAATAAACGATCAAGACCAAGTAAAAATCAAAATAATATCCCCTACAACAAGAACACTACCGCACAGAACGCGGCCAGAGCCGACGTCACGCCTGCAGCGACACCCATCCGCGACGAGGCGTTGACGGTGACAACGGACGGGGTCGACGAAGCCGTGGTGACGTGTGAGGGAGTCGTGCCGTTGCCCGAGCCAGATCCAGAGCCCGAGCCACCCGAACCACCCGAACCACCCGAGCCAGATCCACTACCCGAGCCACCCGAGCCAGACGAGCCAGAGCTCGTCGAGCCGGCACCACTGGACGTGGGGGTCGCACCCGAGCCGCCCGACGCGGCACCCGAGCCCGAACCACCACCACCGGCGCCGCCACCCGCACCGCCACCAGGACTGCCGGACGCAGAGCCCGACGCGGTGGCCGAGGGTGAGGCTGGAGCCGAGCCCGAGGGAGACGCCGAGGCCGACGCGCCGCCGCCATTACCAGCGCTGGGGCTCGAGCCCGTGTTGCCGCCCGTGCCGGCGCCAGGACTGCTGCTCGCGGGGGGAGCGCCGCCACCACTGCCGCCAGGCGAGCTCGACTGGGCGGGGTTGCTCTGTGGGGGTGGCGACTGGGCCGGAGGGGACTGGGCCGGAGGGGACTGGGCCGGCGGAGACTGAGCCGGCGGAGACTGAGCAGGGGGAGACTGAGCAGGGGGAGACTGAGCCGGGGGAGACTGAGCCGGGGGAGACTGAGCCGGAGGAGACTGAGCCGGAGGAGACTGCTGAGGCGGAGACGACTGAGGCGGTGGCGACTGCGCCGGAGGAGACTGCGCCGGACTGGACAGCGGGGGAGGCGACTGCGCTGGCGGAGACGACAGAGGAGGCGGCGACTGCTGCGGCGGAGACGACTGCGGCGGGGGCGACTGCTGCGGCGGAGACGACAGCGGAGGGGGCGACTGCTGCGGCGGGGACGACACGGGCGGCGGGGACGAGCTCGGCGGCGGGATGATGACGGGCGGGCTGGAGCTGCTGGGCGGGGCGCTCTGGGCGGACGAGACAAAGGTGGGGGTGCCGGACTGCTCGGACTGGGGCGGGGTGCCGGAGGGGGGGGCGGAGGTGGCCGGGGCGGAGGCGCAGTAGTCAAGGTACTGGCCAAACTTCTCGACGAGGTACTCTCCGATGCCGAGCTTGCCCTGGGCGCTGTTGTCGGTGACGCAGGATTTGCAGCCGTTGTAGTAGGTGAAGAAGGCGGAGGCGGCGGCGCAGAGGCCAGGGGTCTTGCCGACGGACTGGGCCTCGAGGTAGGCGTTGTTGCAGACGTCGAAGCAGACGGCGGGGATGATGGAGTCGTCGCGCTTGGCGAGGCGGTGGCGGTCCAGGTCCAGGTCCGCCCGCGGTGCCCGCTTGTAGGGGTACGACGGCGGCGACGACGGCGCCGGCGACGGCGGCGGCCAGTGGGTGATGGTGGACTGCGTCAGCCAGTTGCCGGTGGTCACGGTGAAGACGTGGCCGCCAATGCGCTCGACAATCAGCTCCTCCTCAAAGATGTCGTACGACAGGCCAAAGGCGGGCGGCGCCAGGTTGAAGTAGCCCTCCGTGGGCGGGTAGTACGAGGTGGTGTTCTCGGGCCACTGCACAATGGGGAACGGCGGCGACGGAATGCACTCGTCGGGCCGGCACACAAACGTGTCGGCGGGCGAGTCGGCATACAGCGTGCAGCCCGCGGGCTTCTTGGGGCTGCAGACGGTGCCGGGCGCACAGCCCCAGGTCAGGTCGGAGCTGGGGACGAGCGAGGCGAGCGCCTGGCCGGCGCGGGACGGCGCCGCGCAGGTGCTGACGGCCAGCGAGATGGTGGTCGTGATGGTCTCGGTCTGCTCGGGCTCGATCTGCGTGCTCGTGGTCGTGGTCGTGGTCGTGGCCGTGATGGTCACGTCAATGGTCGACGCGGGAATCACCGAGGTGACGGTGACGGTCGTGTCGCTGCCGCGCTCTGTAAAGGTCGTTGTGGACTCGGGCAGCGTGGAGGTGACGACGATGACGGACCCGGGGAGCGTGGTGACCGAGCCGGGGAGCGTCGTGACGGAGCCCGGCAGCGTCAGCGTCGACGCGGGGATGGTCACGGTGGTGCCGGACAGCGTCAGCGTCGACGCAGGCAGCGTGACGGTCGACGCGGGCAGCGACAGGGTCACGACTTCCGACACAATGTCCGTCACGGTCGAGCCGGGCAGCGTCAGCGTCGACGCGGGCTGCGTGATGGTGGTGCCGGGCAGCGTGAGGGTCGATGCCGACAGCGTAATGGTCACGCTGACGTCGTGCTCGACGTCGCTCGTGACGGTGGCCGTCGTCGTGGCCGTGGACGTGGCCGTCGAGCCCGGCTGCGTCGAGGTGACGGTCGTCGTGCTCCAGACCACCTGCGTCGACACGACACACTCGTACGGGTCCGGCACAGCGCGGCGGTAGTAGCCCGACGGCGTGGGCGCCGCATCACTGGCGCATTCTGTCACAACAACCGTGACGGGGTACGACTGCAACGTTAGCGGCGAACATCACGGGCACGTTGGCCCAATGGCAAAAGCAGACGCAGAGAAACGTGGCCGCAACCTACCACGACATAGGAGCTGTAGTCGGTCTCGGTGGACGTCACGGTGTCCGTCTCAATGGCGATGCTCGACTCGACTGTCGTGATGGTCTCGGTGCTGACCGTCACCGACACCGACACAACCGGCACAGACACCGTCTCGGTGACGGTCTCGTAGCACGTCGACCATTCGGTCACGGTGCAGTACTCGGTGATGGTTTCGGGATAGCAATGGCCCCCGTGGTTGCCGCCGGGGCCGCCGCCATGGCCGGAGCCGCCGCCTAGGTTGTTGGCGTCGACAGGGCCGTTGTGGTTTGTCGCGTTGGCGGCGCTCGCCGTGTCGGCCGTCACGAGCGGCGACGCGGCCAGCAGCAAGCTGGGCAGCACGCTGGCCAGCCGCCAGACGGATGCGCGGTGCATTGTTGTCGTTGTGTCTTTTTTCCTCCTTGTTTTTTATGTCGACGTCTCTCTCCTCGTAACGAACGGTCGAAGCTGGGAAGCTCCGTTGGAAGCACAAACGAATGTGTTTGGATGTGTTGTCAAACGATTGTCTAGAAGAGGGCGGTCAGGAGGTGGGGAGAGAGGAGAGAGGGCAACCATATGAAAGAAAAGAAGGTGAGGAGACAAAAGGTGAGAAACGAAAGAGAGAGAAGAAAAAGGGCAACGAAGAGTGACGAGCAGGACGACGGGCGACTTCAGCACAGCAACTACAACTGCAACTACGGGCTGCACCTCTACCCTCTACGGACTGCAACCGCACGACGGCATAACGGACCACAAGGTAAAGAAAAGAAACTAGCTCGGTTGACAGACAGGGGGGGGGGCAGGGGACAAACAGACAACAGCCACGACCAACAACAAGACCGACAGACTTGGCGCGGCTCATGCAGTTGGATATATTTGGTCAAGCCACGGGGATGGCAGGCGATGGTAGGGCAGAGGTCAGGGGAGGCCAGAGAGTAAAAGAGTACATACAGGGGACAGGCAAGAGCCTCACCCACAGCCGAAGAAGAGAAGAGAAAAGAGAAGAGAAAAGAAAAAGAAATGGGCAACGGGTGGGAGAGGGTGGGGCGGGTTGAGGCTGTTGCCAGGCCTGCAGTGAGGTTTTGCGGTTTCTTTCCTTTTTACTTAATTGTTTTTGTTTTCTGACTTCTTACGTCGGGACTTTGTACACTTGTGGCTTTTCCTGGGTGGGTGGGATGCAATACTCTGTACAGCTCCGAATGTCAGATGGAACGGCAGACGACTGGGTGTAAGTGAAGTGAGCCACAGTGAGAAGGATGCCTGGGAAGGACGGTACAGCATTGCAAGTGACACTGATGGTCCTGCAATATCACGTTGGATCCGGCTTGCAGGCGGAAAGGGAGACGAGGGACCAGTTTGGGACCAGCTCGTTGTTACTTGGGACAGACCAACTCGACAAGAACAACTCGGCAGCGAATGCGTCACCAAAAACGCATTGGATTCAAGCAAGGGAGGCAACACGCCGTGTTGTTACGGCATATGTCCGTACCGTGTAAAGGAACTCGCCGACAGGAGTGCTCTGTAGCTCTGTAGTGCAAGACGTTCAGAAGCTTTCTTCACGACGCCGCATTCGGATTCTATCAGTGGCGCAGAAGAAAAGAATAAAAAGAAGCCCGCTAGCTTCAAGTCAGGGACGCCACAAGCAAACAACAAAGAAAGATTTCGTACGCTGTTTGACATCTCCAGTGGGTGCCTTGGGAAATGGACCCCGTGGCACAGGAAATCAAAATAGGAGCCATAGGAGCCGGATGAGAACAAGAGGAACAGACGCAGCACAAAACAGACGAAATGACAGAGGCCTGGGAGCCTGGGACCCGAAATATGCTGAAAATAGGGGATACGGCAAACGCGAACGCAGAAGACTGGGGCGAAGGATATGACAGATGGGCGATGGCAGATTGTTGATTGTAATTGTGAGGACCCATGTGGGGAGGTGAGTGCGTGAGATTTGGACGCGGACCCAGTTTCCAGTGACCAGCAAGGCGGCCAAAGTGGTCCAAAAAGCGACGGTTGAGCACCCCTGTCGATGTCGACGCTGTTACGCTGTCCACTCGGGTGGTCTTTTGTCCTGGTCGGGCCAATTCAAGCAGCAGACATGTTGTCGACAACAGACAGACAGGGTAGTGCTCACGATGAAAATACAAATCAAACGGTCGGCGGGGACGTGTGATGAACAGAAAGTGGCCGAATTGGGCAGCGAACTGAGTCAACCAGGCAAAGAGACATACATCCACTTGGGAGGGGGGTAAGGGAAGTAAAGAGGCACGGCGTATGACATTTCCGTGCCGTAGAATAAATCGTGATGTTGCGAGAAAGGAGGATGTGAAGAAAAAGACCCAAAAAAAATGAGCCTCGAGTGACGACCTCAGGAACACAATGAAAAGCAGGAACAGCAGCCACAGCATGCACGACGGACACTGGCACCAACAGTGACAATACGCAGGATGAGAGATTGCAGGGATCGTTGCAGGTTACAGTACTCCATAGTTAGTCGTAGAATGAACAGAGCGCACAGCCCAAGAGTGCGTCTGTTCTGAGAAACAGGCAAGGTCATTCAAATCAACAGGCGGCAGGTAGGGACCTTTGTTCGCCCCCAACATAACACGTTCCCGGCGATGGAAAGGGGGGGGGGGGGAAGAGGCCCAGATGAAGGACCGACAGGTCAAGGACCGACGATCAACAACCGAGAGACCAATGCGCCTCAAGCGCCTCATCTGAAGCTACGCCGTACCAACGAACAACTGCAGCTAGAAGGTTTCGACAGGACCGATGAGTCGTCGTCTGTCAGAACGTGGCTGAGCTGAATGGAGCTTCGGCCGTGGCATCTTGTTTTGGCAATCAGCCGCAACGTCTTTGACGTGGCTGGGTCGGCTCGCCATTCGTGGACAAACGGCATTGTCTGTATTGCCTCTTTCTGCTCATTGTGCCTCATCGTAACTCGTATCTGCCACTCGTGCAAAGCAAACGCGGGGTCCTTTGGCGAAGCCGATGTGCGATCCAACGTGCCGCACAAACGTCGGCCCAACATCTTGTTCGTCGTACGATGTACACGGACATCGCCCCCCAAAAAAGTAGCTCTTCACTTGCAGCCTGCATCCCCGCGGTTGACTTTTGGGAGGGTGTCTTGGCCGTCCTGGCGGAGAGCGGTGTACCAAAGTCCATCGCAAGTCTTGCACATCACAGACCAGAGACAGGACTCGGCTCGGGTTTCCCCGCTCATTCAACGCCATGGCCCGTCACTCCGTTAGTGGTTGACGTACGAAGTCCTCCGTACAATGTAAATTGACCGTGTCGTTTTCTTGCCTTTGACGTGCTCGGGCAGACCGAGGCATTGGGGTTGGACGATCGTGATACGTCGATACAGAGACTGGGAGACAGATTGACTTGCAACGCCCTGCCGCTAGTGCATGTCGTAATTGCGCCGCAGGGCAGATAGGCGCCACTCAACCCACGCACGCACGCACGCGCACGAAGGAACGAACAAACGTGCCTTCAGTTGTGCTCCGCAACTCGCAGAATCACCGATCCCAGATTGTGGCGTTATTAGGGGAAGGCTGGGAGGGTTGGGTCTCGTTTCTCGTGGCCGTGTATTGTAAGGCTATCATAGGGCCATCTAGGTATTTCGTATGCTCGTCAATTGCTGCTTCTCTTCGTTTCTCCTCGTTTGACTCTTTTGACTCGTTGTCTCTCTCTCTCTCTCTCTCTCTCTCCGCCAAAGGGGACATGAAGCCACAGAGGCTGCGCCCTTTCTCTTTTCGCACTTCTCCCCCGTCAGCTTCTGCTTTCCCGTCTTGCCGATCACTGTTTGCTGCAGAGGAGACCGAGGAGCCGCGCAAAGAGAGAAAACATGGATGATGACAATGAACAAAGTGCGTTTCTCTCCACTTTTTGTTCGGAGGGGGCTGGCGCCCGCCAGGGTCCCTGGACGATTGGTGTTCTGTGGTTGGCTGTTTTTCGAGCTGACTAAACTAGTTACGGAATGGTCCATCCGAGAGGTCGGCGTGGGTTGCATTCAAGCATGGGTGTGTTGTCAACTGAAGGAGGAGAGGTTGAAAACAAGGATTGTCGTTGTGGTTTTCCTTTTTTTTTTACACCACAGTAAGGCAGGCACTTGCAAAGTGGGCAGGCGCGGCGGGGCGACCCTGAAGAGGAAGGCGCAGGGCTGAGTCGGTGGCTCGCAGTCGCACCTGCCGCTATTTTTGCGTTATGTCCATCGGACGGCGTAAAAGGAAAGTACGGAAAGAAAGTACGGAAAGTACGCAATACTCAGTACGTACAACACACAACATACAACAAAAAACAACCAACTACACATACACATCTTAGACTCGCACGTGGGCAAACATAATTTGATCGTTGCTTGCACTGAGGGACCTCGCGTGAAAAACCTTATTTGGGCCTTAACGGAACGGTTGACCAAGCGCTGTGGATGCCACTGTTTGTCGCAAATCCTTCCATCCCACCCAAGACGGGCAGACCTCCTCTACAGACAGCCTCACAGCAAAGGGCCACAGGACGGGCTTTACATCGTAGTCAGAAATCGCCTCGGTGGGCAGATCGGCAGTAGAAGGCAGCGATGGAGCCGTCTCGCGATGACGAGCAGGGAGGAAGAGGCACGAGGAAAACAAACACGAGCGTGAGGCTCTGCTGGCATAACGCAAAGTAACCGAGAAACGTACGATGTAAACCATACCCTGGCTAGGGTTTGCCTGCCCCATAGCTGAAATGAAGCTGCAATCCTTGCAGGGCAGTGCGCTGGGACGAGGACGCGGATACTTCGTACGAAGTACCTCCCGTAAAGTAATTACAAAGCACAACAAGATACATGGCAACGACAGCGAAAGAGGCCCACGGCTCATTTACTTTTGGGTCTTTGCGGGACACGACCGACACGACGGAGAAGGTGGTCAGACAGGAAGGATCGGGCTGATCGTGTCGGTCGTGGAGCATAAGCTGACGCAGTTCGTGTGGCAATCGTGAAAAGGCTAGAAAAACATGCACAGTAGAAAGCAGAAAATGAAAGAATACTTTGACGGCGAAACGAAACACAGTGGCCGTTCATATTGTTCCTTGGCCAGCTGGCCCGCAAACAGCATGGATGGAAAGGGATGTCTGTTGGTGATGAAATGGAGAGAAACATGAGCACAAAAACAGACCAACACCGCCAGGCCAGTCTAAACTAGGCCAGGAACGTTTCGACGACAAAGAAGCGAAGAAGCGCACGAGTTTGGAGTCAACGGAACTAAAATAACACGGAGACCTGACTTCCACTCGAAATACAAATACGAAACGAAAACAAAAGAAAACAAATGGCCAAGCGGGAAACAACCCTGTAAGTCGCTCCATCACCAACATCACCAACAGAGACCGTCTCTGTCTCTCCAACCACCACTCTTTTGTCTTGCCGTTTCCGCCACTTTCTCACCCGTCACCGCTGTCAGCCGCACGAGTCGGCCTGGACAGCCCCGTGAGGCCCTCCAGAGTGGTGTCCTACTATCGAGCCCTGCAACGGTACGAAGTGAAGACTGGCCATGACTGGTAAGCTTATGCCTATGAGACTCTTCACCGCACGCCGTAAATAGAACCAGGATAATGGTCGCCTGGAGGCTCTGATCAGTCTCGGACACACATTTTTGTGTTGTTTCGTTTCCTCGTCTTTCTCGCTGTCCATTCCTGTTTCCTTTGTCCTCGTTTCTGCACATTGGCAACGGAGGTTCCATCATGCAAGCTGCATACGGGCCACCACTCGACCTCCTCCGCCACCCACCCTCTCCCACTCTCTTTCTTTGCATCCACATCATTGCTGCGTCTCCTCCACCACGCTTCCACTCTTGGTTCCGTCTCGCCTCCCTTCCCAACCCCAAGTCGTCGCCCGACAATGCACTGACGAAGGACATGTTACTTTGTGGGATACCTTCCAGAGAAGTGTCGTGCGTAAAGTGTAGCGTCCATTAAGTAGTTTTCTTCGTCCATTGTGGCTTACGATGCCGCCCTGTACGAGCTCTTGTGTGTCTACAGCTCCTATCCTCGTCGCCACCGAGTATGTTTTCTCCTCTGCCTTCATCCCCTTCCCTTTCCGTCTCTTTCAGAGTCTGCCTCTTCCTTTCCCTGTTCGTCTCGCCTCCACCCTCTCTACCCCTTGCCTCTTATTGCTTTGTCTGTTCCCAGCTTCGTAGCAGCCATTTTGGCTTTCATTTGTGTTTGTCTTCTATGAACTACCCACCCCCAGGATCTACCAAGTATGCACTGCGTCCGTCGTGCATGGGCCTCGCTCGCTGCACTTGCACGCTTGCAGGGAGATAATCCTACCCTGGCTGTCGGCCTCTCCACTGCCTGTTGGCCCTGTCTGCAACCCTGTTTCTGTCAACCTGAACGCCCCTGCGCCTCGGCCTTCCACGAAGTACTACATTCCCAGTTTCTTTTCTGCCGTCTCTGTGCCCTACCTGCCGCCTGTTAGTATTTTCTACCGTTTCAAACTCGATACGCGACATCAGCTTGTGCTTTGTGTTTGTGTGCTGCTGTAGTTCTGTGGTTCTGCGCCTCCATCGCATCTCAGCAGATCGCGATCCCTCCATCGACACTCCATGTCCTGGTGAGAACCTGTTCCCAGTGTGTCGGGTTTTATTGTTTCATTTTTCTTCTTTTCTTCTTTTCTTCTACTATTCTTTAATTTTATCTTTAATCCTTCACACCTGTCACATTCATTTTGTGCCGACCGCCATCCTCCTATGCGGCATCGCCCCGAACATCTGTAAAGCAGGGCGGACCCTGTCCGTCTACAACCACGTCCCCCCTTTTTCGGTGTCACACATTGCTCGAACATGAAGTCCTCCTCTCTCCTCGCCGCGACCAGTTTCGTCGCGTCGGCCGCGGCCCAGGCGTCCGGCTGGATCCCCGGGCAGATCAACGCCTCCATGTGCTACTGGGAACAGCCGCGGGCGGCCGTTGTGCGCGACACGCTGTATCTCGACGGCGGCAGCGTGGTGTGGATTCCGGGCATGAACGACAGCTCGTACGGCCCCGTGACGGCGGACCAGAATCCGCTGGGCATCGTGTACACGCTCAACTTTAGCGTGCCGTTTGCCGTCAAGGACAACCTCACGGCCGACATGGGCGTGCTCTACAAGGTGTCGCCGGGCTCCAACGCCAACAACATTGCGCCCAACTACATTGACGGCGCCATGCTCGCCAACGACGACGAGTGGTTCCTGTACGGCGGGCTGCTCAAGTACACGACGCAGTACAGCCAGCCGCCCAGCGACGCCGCGCAGCTGTACCAGGCCGACCGGTACGGCGCGGAACGGGAGTTTCGGCCCGGGTTTTTGAACGTCGACCTGCCGGCCAACATGACGCGCTACGTGGCCTACGGCGGCGCCGCCAGCGCGCCCTCGGAGAACAAGGCGTGGTACTTTTCCGGCCTGCGCAGCCCGTCGTGGGGGCCCGTCTACACCGTGACGGGCGTCGACGGCCTCACCGCCATCAACGTCTCCGACACGCTCATCACCGTCGACATGGCCACGCAGAACGCCGAGACGTGGTCCAACAGCACGCTGCCGCCCACCGTGCGCGGCCGCGCCAACCCGGAGCTCGTGTGGGTGCCCGTCGGCCCGCAGGGCGTCCTCGTGGCCATTGGCGGCGTCGTCGACCCGCAGTGGGTCGCCGTCACCGGCCAATCCTACAACGCGTCCGCCAGCCGCGCCGCCAGCCCCGCGTTCCTGACCACCCTGGACGTCTACGACGTCGCCGGCAAGAAATGGTACAAGCAGCCGACGACGGGCGGCGCCCGCCTCGGCCAGCGCACGCGCGCCTGCGCCGTCGTCGCCGCCGCGGCCGACGCCTCGAGCTTCAACATCTACTACTACGGCGGCTTCGACGGCCTCAGCGTCGGCAGCGACTTCAACGACGACGTCTGGGTGCTGTCGCTGCCCTCCTTCACCTGGACCCAGGTCTACGCGAGCAGCGACGCCGCCGCGCACGCCCGCGCCGGCCACAAGTGCTTCGCGCCCTACCCGGACCAGATGCTGGTCGTCGGCGGCTACACGCCCCAGGCCGGCGCGGCCGCGGGCTGCCTGGGCGGCGGCATCGTGCAGCTGTTCAACCTGTCGTCGGCGACCTGGATGACCAGCTACACGCCCACCAAGTGGTCCGCGTACAGCGTGCCGGACGCCGTCGTCAGCGTGATTGGCGGCAGCGGCAAGGGCGGGGCCACCGCGACGGCGCCGGCCGCGGCGGGCGGCTGGGCCGACGCGGGGCTCAAGGCCGTCTTTGCCACCGCCTACCCCACCGCCAAGCTGACGACCTACTACCCCTACCCGCTCAACGCGAGCGCCACCACCGCGCCCAACAACACCCACCCGGACGCGCCCGGCCCGTCGTCAGGCGGCCACCACACGCCCGCGTTTGTGGCGCCGCTCGTCGGCGTCATTGGCGGCCTCATTGTGCTGACGGCCGCGGTCGTCGGCGTTTTGCTGTACCGCCGCCGGCGCATCCTCATGTACGGCAGCAGCGCCGGCCGTCGCTCCAGCCGCGGCACCGGCCCCGTGGGCGGCAGCGGCCAGCCCGGCACCGAGAGCGAGGCCACCTACGACACGGGCCGCAACTTTGTCTTCTCGTGGCTGCGCGCCCAGCCGAGCGTCAAGCACGCCGCCTCGACCCCGGCCGCGTCCTCGTACGACGACCCGCACAGCAGCGCCGCCAACCGCGGGCGCGTCCAGAGCTACGGCGGCCAGTACAGCAGCAGCACGCCCCTGTCGCCCGAGATGGAGCAGCTGCAGGCCGCCCATCTGGCCGCGCAGCATTCGGGCAGCGGCGCCGGTTACGCGACTCTGGCGGCGGGCGCGGTGGGTGGCGCGGCTGCCGCTGGTGCTGGCGCTGGCGCGCCCACCGTTGAGGCCGACAACACGTACATTTCCGAACTGATTGCCGACACCAAGTACCGCGCCGAGCTGCCCGGGTCGTCCGATTTTGGGTCCGTCACGACGGACGCCAACAGCAGCAGCCGCATGCTGCGGGGCGGCGCCACCTACCACAGCGTGCCCACGTCGTCGGCCGAGCTCGAGAGCCCCTTGGTCCCGGGCAGCCAGGCCGCCCAGCACGGCAGCACCTCGTCGCTTGGTCCCGCACCGCAGCAACAGCCGCCCGTGTTTGCCCGCGCCGACTCGCCCTCGCTCGGCCAAGCACCACGGTTTCCACCCCAACAGCCTCCACAGGCACCTCTCCAACAACCTGCCCAGGAACCTGCGCAGCAGACACCACGGCCAGCCCCCGCACCAGCAGCCCCGCGCTCGGTGGCCCGCGAGTCGGGCGTCTCGGATCTCAGCGAGCAAGACCGCCGCCACCTGCGCCAGGGCAGCGAGGGCGGCCAGTCGACGACGTCCGGCGTCTCCTCGGCCGTCGGCACCACCAGCGGCTACCAGCGCAACAGCTTGAACCTGAGCGGCGCCGTCTCGCCACTGGGTGCGCAGTTCCCGCCGGCGGTGACGGGTGTTGTCGGTGGCGCCACCATCCCCGAGGCCGACGCCGGGGCCGAGGCGGCGGCGGAAGCGGCGGCCCGGCCGTCCGCACCACCCCCGCTACAGACGGACCAGCAACCTCCAACGCAACCGCAGCCACGGGAGTCGCCGTCCCAAACGAGTCTGCAGGGAAGCGGCGGTGACAGTCCCGGCCAGTCGCGGCGAAGTGCCTTTCGCGAGAGCGAAGCCGACTTGAGGGAGTAGAAGAAATAAAAACAAAAACGTGGATATGGTGGTTGCGTTGTTTCTTGTCTTTTTCTTGTTCACGATTTCCGCGTTGCCCATTTGTCCCCCTTCAGCATGTTCATCCCTAAAATTAGCATACTTTGTAATGTTGCATTGCTTCTCCTGTTTACTATTTTGTTCTTTTTTTCACGTATATGTCCGAAGCAATTCCAAAACACGCAGTGTAGCTTATGAGAATATATGACCATGTACTTTTAAACATGAAAGTCGTGCTCGTTCAAGACTTTTGCAGGTTGCATTTGTGCACAATTTCAAAGACCTCCGTTGACATCACTTTGCAGGTTTATTGGAACAGAATCTTTTAAGGAACAAGAAAGACTTAATTTATTTTTTATTTTTATTTTTATTTTTAAAATTTTGTTTTGAAGAATTTCAAAATAAAATGACCCTCAGAAAACGCACCACTATACGAGACTCACCTACCTGTCTATCAAAAGGCAACCCTGCGCCGACTCAATATCTCTCCAGAGAGGATTGGCTTGTGCTGTTGCTCATCACCGAAATGGACTACGACCAACTACGAGGCAAATTCCTACGAATCTACAATTTTACCACAAAGTACTCGAAAGAATCGCGTCGTACGAGAGATTACGAGGAGAGTGGACAAAGGCCCTCGGGGGGTGGACGAATCCGTTAGGCGGTGTACTCCGCGTCCGATTCGTCCTTGTCCCCCTCCGACAAAGACATGTCCGTCATGTCGACGTCGTCCTTTTCGTCCTGTTCGTCCGTGGCCGCCGCGAGGTTGGTCTGGCTGCGCCGCGTCATTCGGTGCCGCGGCACAATGACCGTCTCGCCGCGGCGGGCGCCGGCCTGGACCACCACGGACTGGCCCTGCGAACGGGTCAGCATGCCATGCTGGGACGCGGGACGCGGCGACAGGGGCGCCTCGCCGCCGATGCTGCCGCGAGGCACACCGCCCGTGGCCACCCGAATCTCGTTTTGGATCGGCCGCTGGTTCAGAATGTCGACCGCCTGCATCCGAGCCGGACCACCACCACCACGGGCGGCGGCCATGTCCCGCACCCGGAAACGGTCGTTTCTGGCCTGGTCGTTGATGGCATTGTCGATGGCATTGATGACGTTGTTGATGTTGACGGCATTGATAATGTCGTTGATGTCGAAGTCGTTGTTGACGTCGATGATGTTGTTAATGTCGATGTCGTTGTCGTTGTTGTCGTCGTTGTTCATGTCACCATCACCGTGTGCCGGGGCCGGGGCCGGAGCAGGCGCCGGCGCCTGCATCCGTGCCGGTCCGCCGCGAGCGGCCGCGAAGTCACGCAGCCGGAAACGCTCGTTTCTGGTCCGGTTGTGGCTCTGGTTATTGCCATCGCCGTCGTTGCCGTTAGCCTGCATGCTGCTCATCTTGGCAATGAGTCTCTCTATAGAAGAAACGTAGAGAAAACGTAAACACGAAATCGAAAGACGCTGACTGGCGAGATATCGATTGCGAAGAATGAGCAGTTGAGCCGTTGACAGCTAGTTATCGACAGCGGTGTTGATGGCAGTGTTGATGGCGTGCTTGGTGTGATGATATGGGGAGGACGAGGACGAAAACATACACACACCAAGACGACATCATGGCGAGACTTATATACAAACGACGTAATAATGGCCATGGTCACTTTGAACATGAACAATATGTTCCTCTTTGGGCATATCGTGGACGCATCGTGAACATATCGTGGTATTCTTGTTCAAGACCGTGTCGTCAGGCGTCCGAGTTCATGAACACCCGGCAATATGTGCTTTTGTTCGTTCGCTGCACATTCTGTATGGCATAATCTTCGTTCACTGCCTCAGCCAACTTTCTTTGTTCTCGATTTTTCACTTGTCCACGCCACTTTCAACCGTCCAACACCAATGTTACAAGAGCGATTGTTTTAAGATTTGGAAACCTTTTATTTCATAGAGTACTTTTCGCCAAACAAAGGAAAAAAGGGATGAGAGAGATAGAGAGGTAGGGGGAGAGAGAGAGTCGACATGCGAGAGAGAAGTAGGTGAAACAGAAAAGAAAAAAGACAAAAGATGATAATAAAATAAATAGAGATACAGTTGTGCTCAAAACACCCTTCCTCTTTGCATTAAGCGTTCTCTTACAAGCTCTTTATGGGGACTTCTAGGTACAGAAATATACTGAGATTACGATCGATCGTGAGTGTATATGTCAGGTACTCATAAGCACCTCCAAGTTTATAGGCTGGACAAAGAGACCGTTACCCCTCTGCCACAGTGTGCCTCAACGCGGTCGCTACCTTACGAATACGTGTACTCGGGCAGCTAAATTTAAGTACTAAGACGTTAGCCGTCCAGACCACTAATACCGGGAAACAAACGTCGACCTCAGATTTATTACAAGGAATGAAAGTTCAATGCTTTATTGACTAGCTGTCTTTCATGGTACTGTAAACATAAAGGAGAAAGAGCATATGTACACACTGTAACACCAAAATAAAAGAAGATGCACTACTGTGATAACACTCAGATGCACAACCTTCTCTTATCTCCCCCGCCACACATTTCTTATTGGTTCCTTTCCTCTCCTTTGGGCCACGGCTGTGGCTGTGCTAAGTAATGACTGCCGCATTTCCTCCCTCCAATCGCCGTAGGGCATTAACCGCCGTCTTGGTTGGGCATACATCCAAGGCAGTTTTTTCACTTCAGCCGCGAGATGCGATCGCGAAATGTTCCCGAAACAACCGACATCTGCTATCCGACCATGGGGTTCTTCAAGCGTAATGACGAGTAAGACCGAGCTCGCAAACCCGGATCCTCAGAATCAAAGGCCATGGCAGGCTTTCGCGAAAAACTGCAAAAATGGCGGGACAGAAAAGGCGGCGGGCGGGCACAGCCAGACGCCGCATCGGTGGCCTCCTCCGCCAAGGGCAGCAACGACATCCGACAAGAGCGCTCCGGAGACAACTTGGTCGATCCTGTTAATCGTAAAGAGTCGTCTACGACCCAGTCGCTTTGGGACCGCGCATACGACGCCCTCAGAAAGGAAAAGACACAATTAGTAAAGGACTATGAGAAACTGCTCTCGAAGGAAGAGCAGATGGCGAGTACGCATCACTGACTGACACTTTAAAATCGTATGTCGCTGATATTAACTCAGTTACATTACAGATTCTACTTTAAGTAACGGGTCTCCCGCACAGCCCATACCACGGCACGACGTAACCCTTGACCCCGACAGTCAATATCGCCAAGCCCAACTGAAAACAGTAATCGAACAAGGGCTACGACGAATGGAAGAGAAGAAAGCGAGATACACTATCGCCGGCCATGAATTTGTCCTGACGGATCAGATCGCGCAGGCCGCGGGGTTCGTGCTGTGGGCAAAAGACTGGATCGGTGAGGCCGTTAAGGCTTCACCAGAGGCTTCCGTCGCGTGGGCCGGTGTCTGTATTATTCTCCCGCTCCTCACAAACCCCAAGACTACAGAGGACGCCAACCGTGACGGATTCACATATGTCACTACCCGGATGCGCTATTATGCTGCGCTTGAGCCGCTGCTACTGCGGCTCGGCCAGAACTCCGAAGTCGCCGATGGTTTAATGGCGGAAGCCAACAGCCATATTGTGGACCTCTATCAGCAGATTCTCGAGTTCCAGATCCGAAGTGTGCTACGATTCTACCAGCACCGCCTTGAAGGCTACGCCGGAGATGTGTTTCGGCCAAGAGATTGGGAGCAAATGAGACTCAAGATTGAACAGCTCGAGGCGACCGTCAACGGGAATCTAAATCAGATAAACCAGTTTGTGTCGAGGCAGGAGCTTGAGTCTCTCGATAAGACGAGCACAGAATCTCTTGGAACTATACGAAAGCTCCTGTCTGTTTCTGAACAGCAGCTACGAGTTCAAGAAGCGCAGCGGGATATTATACAAGAACAGCTTAAAATACAAAAAGACGCAGTTCAACAAAAGCTATCCGATAAGCAAGAAGCGTGTCTCCAACTATTCTATCTCACCAACAACAAAACCACATACGAGTGGTACAAGGATCGTGTGGAAGACCGAGTAGAAGACACATGCTTATGGTTCCTCCAACACCGCCACTTCCAGGAGTGGTTAAAACAGGAGTCAGGGCCACTGCTTGTCTCAGCGGACCCCGGATGTGGAAAGTCGGTCTTGGCCAAGTACTTAATCGACTATGAGATACCACGGTCAGCAACTACCTGCTACTTCTTTTTCAAAGACCAAGACCAGAACACCATCCGGCAAGCACTTTGTGCTTTACTCCACCAACTCTTCTCTAAAAAACCGGCCTTAATCGAGCATGCTATGGGTCTATTCCGGGAAAAGGGGCCACGTTTAATCGATTCAACAGAGTCACTTTGGACTATCCTCGGAAATGCCGTGCAAGATCAACGTGCCGGACCTGTTGTCATCGTTCTCGATGCACTAGACGAATGTGCTGAAGAAGAGTTTAAGGACCTGATACTGAATGTGGATAGTCAATTCCGCAGCAACCAATCGGGCTATGGAAAGTTGAAGTATCTTTTAACAAGCCGCCCGTATGAACAGATCGTATCTAAGTTCCGGGGCCGGTTAGACGCTTTTCCGCATATTCGTATACCAGGAGAGGAAGAGTCGGAAATAATCAGCCAAGAAGTTAACCTCGTCATCCAATACCGAGTCGAACAGCTGGCGAGAGAAGAAGGGCTGTCAAACCAAGTTAAGCGTCACCTGGCAGAAAGATTGCTCGGAATTGAGCACCGCACATACCTTTGGGTATACCTTGTGTTCGACTATTTGAAGACCGGCTTCAAAAAGACAGTAAAGGGGATCGAGGCAGCCATTAAAACTCTGCCGGAGAATGTCAACCAAGTATACGAGCGGATCCTAAACAAGTCTAAGGAAGACCCGATGGTCCAGAAAGTCTTGAGTATTATCTTGGCAGCGAGCCGGCCATTAACGCTCTCAGAAATGAACGTTGCTACGAACATAGACGACCAGCTACAGTCTATTCACGACCTCGACCTAGAAGAAGAAGAGGCCTTCAAATCACGTCTCAGATCTTGGTGTGGATTGTTCGTCTCCATTCATCATAACAGGGTTTATTTTCTTCATCAAACTGCTCGGGAGTTCCTCACGGATTCGCCATCTCCTACAGCTGTTTCGTTAGAGCTACGTTGGCATCGCTCTATAACCACCCGCCATGCACACACCGTTCTTGCCGAGCTCTGCGTGTTCTATCTCAATAACTTCAACTCTGACATTAGTCTTACAACAACTGTTAATGGGGCATCCGGCCACGACAATGATCGCGTCGCCTTCTTAAATTATTCGGCCAACTACTGGGGCTTTCATTTCCACGAGGCCGGTATCGTCGATGATGCCGCCATAGTACCCCTCGCGTCGGGAATTTGTGATCCAGATTCGAAGAGCCATTTATTATGGTCCAAAATCTATTGTAAGATTCATTGGTTAAATCCTAAGTATTTTACGGGTCTTATAGTGGCGTCGTATTTTGGACACAATTCTGTCGTCAAGCTGCTGCTCGAGAAGCGCGCCGACGTCGAGGCGAAGGATAACGATGGCCGGACGCCGCTGTCGCATGCCGCCCAGGGTGGGCACGAGGCCGTCGCGCGGCTGCTGCTCGAGAAGGGCGCCGGCGTCGAGGCGAAGGATAACGATGGCTTGACGCCGCTGTCGTCTGCCGTCTTGTTTGGGTACGAGGCCGTCGCGCGGCTGCTGCTCGAGAAGGGCGCCGACGTCGAGGCGAAGGATAACTATAGCTTGACGCCGCTGTCGTCTACCGCCTTGTTTGGGTACGAGGCCGTCGCGCGGCTACTGCTCGAGAAGGGCGCCGACGTCGAGGCAAAGGATAACGATGGCCGGACGCCGCTGTCGCATGCCGCCCAGGGTGGGCACGAGGCCGTCGTTAAATTGTTAAAATCACATGATGCCCGATCTTAATAACACCTTAACTTCCACCCCGCCCACCACTTGTATCTCATCTCTGTTTATATACTATGATGAAAGTAATAAGTGAGAGGGGTTGTACAGGATAACAAGAGACACATGAAAGAAGGATGTATGCAAAGGTAGGTTGGGTGTTGGCAAGGGTCTGAGCCTTATCTGGTCATATTCAATTGGAAGTCAATGTAGCTATTTATCTTTTGTCAATGGGACAGGATCCCAGCGGGATTCCCCAGGGATCCCCGCTGGATACTTGTCTTCGTCTGTCTAAGGATGACAGACGTCGTCTTCCTTCTTTGTCTGATTTTGACATTGGTGAGAACCCCGCGGGCTTCCCCCCGGAGGTGCGGGGGTCCAGACAGGTCCGGAGGGATCCGTGTCTGTGTTGGTCCGTAAGGATCCATGTGCTATGCACCCCGCACCTACCGATTGATCTTGCTTGCTATTCCAATTGACTAGGTCACGAGGTTTCCCGTGACTGACCAGAAGGCTCATGAAATATGCGTGACAGGGAAGGAGAGGTAAAAAGAAGACTAAAGGTAAGCGTAGAAGATATCTACATCTTAAGAGTGTGGCGCCAGCCCCTGGCCGTGGCTGGCAGCTGCTGGCATCTGGCTTATCGATAAGCGCTCGTGACATACTCGTTGAGAAGTTAAAATGAAGGCTTTGAAAGGATTCAATTCGCTTACGTATTTATTTATTCATTCATAGACTGTCCCAGCCGCCCTTGTGGCGTCTATGCAGCGTACGACTATTAATATAGGTTTTGTCATGACCCAAGTTCACGGGGCGACCAGCCTGTCTGGCTGGTGCCGTGGCTAGCGATTGGCTGACTCGTCTGGCTGGAGCCGTGTCACGTGAGTGGTTGACTAATCTTCAGCGACTCTCTAGCGCGGAGCCAGAGAGGATCTCACCGTAGCTTAAGTAGGCCAGTCTTCCCCCTCTTCTTGGAAAAGGGGTAAGATTTAGTCTTGTCACAATATCATACCTACCTTTGCTGTTCTCCGATAACGCTTTCCCTTTATCTCGAAAGAGACTCTATTGTGACTACCTATCCAACAACACCCATAACAGGTTTCCCCTGGTCCCGTTTTCTGGATGCGACTTTCCTCCTGCAAGAATTGCTAGTCTGCCAACTAAGCCATTCTTCCATGATGAGTTGATCCTTCCACTAAATCTAGGTTTCTGTATTAATAGCCTTCCTATCTGTTCTGTGTATATGGTCTTGTCAGGCCCTATCGGCCCTCCTTCCTCTGTTTACTAAATGTCGCCTTTTCTTGCGATTAGTATACGAGTACTGTGGACGGGACGGCTCTGAATTGCTCTAGGAGCCCCGTCCTGATGATCATCTTTGCTGCTTGTACTGCCATGGTCGAGTTACAGAGAATACGCTTAATGTCCACACATGGTTGCTTGCCTGCCCACATCCGGTGTCGTTCGTCGGTCCAGTCGCGGCACTCTAGGAGGTTGTGTCGCACCGATTGTCGTCCGTGGCCGCACTGGCATTGGTCGGTGTCGGCTTTGTTAATGGGGTGGAGGTAGGCCCGGAGGCCGATCTTGCCGGTGCGTATCTGCGTGATCACGGAGCTGATCGCGCGGTGATAAATCGCCTACGTTATTTATTGAACTTAACTATACTATGTATTACACCTTGACGGCTCAGGCCCACTATAGCGATTGCCGGTAAAAAATTACTCCGAAAGTCGGTCAACTTCATATTTGATGTATACAGTGCTTAAGTAGACTTAATGGAACTGTGTGGAGCATACTCAAATATAAAATAGATATTATGCAAAGAGGAAGGGACTTTTGTTCATAACTGTAAACAACGGGGGAAATAGTGAACTAGGATAGGAAAGACTTTGTGCCAGAAATACCAAAAAAGGAAACAGCAATAGAAGCAGAAACGGATATGAAAAAATAAAGAAATAGATGAAAATGAAGAAACATGAGACTCGGCTGGTGAGCAACTACGGAGAGCGTCTAAAAATCATAGACACGCAAGCGAAACCAAAAGAAAAAAGAAAAAAAAGAAGAGGACTAAAAAGTGAGAAAAGAGCCAGTGACGATGACGCCTTCGCATTGGCAGCGTCGCATACGAACAGCCGCAAACGGGAGAGTAGCGAGCGTGCGGCACACGAGGCTAGGACGGTAATGACACCCAACAGCCTCCCAGCCGTGCTTTTCAGAGCGGCTGGTAGCTCATACTGCAAGACTTTCCAGTCCAAATACAGTCGTCCGTGGTTCTCGAAATCGAGTTCACAATGCCCGAATGCATGTTCTCGTCGTCGCCGTTCGAATAAGGAAAACGTGTTGCATCGTTTTGCTGCCTCCGTCTCGCTGTGCCGTTCGCCGCTGATGGGTGTTGCTTGTATTTTTTGGTGATTGCCGTCGTCGTTGGCGTCTTCTTCTGCCAGCACCCAAACGTCTGCACTGTCGTCCGCACCGAACACGCATCACTTCCACCCCCCACCATGACAAAGCGCACCGTCTACGCTTTACATCAGGATGCACTTGGAGCAGCACCCTGCCTCGGTGTCGTTGTCGCTGACCTCGATCTTGTTAGAAGGGCCGCCAACATTGGACGTGCCGCTGCCAGTGGAGTAGCCCTGCATCTCGCGGTTGTACCGTCTGATCTCGCGCACAATGTCGTAGAATGCCTTGTCGACGTTGATCCGGGACTTTGCCGACGTCTCGATGAACTTGCAGCCGAACGATCTTGCGAGCGCTTCGCCCTCTGTACAGTGGTCAGTTGGTTGCCGATGCGCCCCCGGGTCGTTTCCAGAATCCACATCCAACGGTCCATCCACGTACCTTGTCTGGTCACCTCGCGTTCGGACTCGAGATCACACTTGTTGCCCACCACGACCATGGGGAAGTAGTCCTTGTCCTTCACACGCAGAATTTGTTGCTGGAAGGTCGTGATCTCCTCAAAGCTCTGGCGCGACGTGATCGAGTAGACGAGCAAAAAGCCCTCGCCTGTCCGCATGTACTGCTCCCGCATCGCCGAGTACTCCTCCTGGCCGGCTGTATCGAGCACGTCGAGCAGTGCGACCTCATCGTCAATGACGCACTGCTTGCGGTACGAATCTGGGGGAAGGAAACGAAAGTCAAGTTAGTGACGTTGTTCGTGGTTCGCGCCACAGGTGCATCGCATGGGAGAAAGGCGAAATGAACAATGCGCGCACCTTCAATTGTTGGGTCGTATTCGTCGACGAAGTGGCTCTGGATCAGCTGAATCGTCAGGCAAGACTTGCCTACGCCACCACCGCCAACCACGACGAGCTTGTATTCTCTGAGGAACTATGCGTGGTGAGAAAATAGGATGTTAGTCAACAAGGCTTGCGAAAGATAGACGTCGCGTCGGATAGGATTGGCTGGAGCATGGAGCTGCCGGGGGTTCTAGGTAATCGATAGGAGCAAAATGATGGAATTGGACAATCGCGCAGCCGTGCCTGCATCGCGGCGTGAGACGGCACGCAGCCGCGGCACAGGTTGCTCAAGAGGGTAGGGAAGGTTGTGATGGGATGTGGTATGGAGCATAGAGGAGTGCCGAAAAACGGATTGCGGGCGGTCGGTGCTGTGGAGCTTGTCAAGTGAAGCTTCAGAAAGGACGGAAAAAAAGGGGGTAGTGTCCGGAATGTGCAAGCAAGCAAACGGCGCGCAGAATCGTTGGGTCGCCAGGTCGTCGTACCTTCGATGCCATTGTGATGGAGTCTGTTGCGTGATCGCAAACAGAGGGATAAGGGAGAGGAGTAGAGGAAAAGAAGACAAGAAACTGAACTGGTAAGCGAGTCGAACCGAATCGAGCAAGGAAATCGATGTGGGCGGTTTCGACAAGTCAAGCGAAAGCCGGAGCAAAGGTCAAAAAGGCGAAAATAAAAGCAGTCGAAAAGGGGCGAACAGTCGCTTTCGTCGTCGAGAAATCGGATTGTGTTTCTTCGCGGCTTCTTCGAAAGTCGAAAATTGCTGGTGTCGAAGAAGAGAAAGCCGGGATGGGATGCACGATTGCAGAAGCGTGGATAGAAAACAACGGTGGTTGGGGGAGTGTGGTTTCTCTCGTGGTTCTCTTTTTGGAAAAGGGCAAAAAGTGGAGGGGGATGAAGGAGAGAAAGAGACCAGCCAGAGGTGAGGAACCGGCGATCACTGTGCTTTTTGCGAGGTTTCCTTATATTATCCTTTTTCCTTTTATTTCGGTTTTCTGGGCCCGGGGCGGGTTTTTTTTCAGGAGGCCAGGCCCGAAGAGACACTAGAAACAGCAAAAGATACGGCCCAGACGGTGTCTATGGGGAAAGGTCGCCAGGGTGCAGTGTGGTGGGTTACTGGTCTTGGGTAGTGCTTGGGACTGAGGGTCTCTTGAGTCTAGACAGAGTTGGGACTAGTTGATGATCAATGGCAACAGGAGGGGAGGGGCTTCGTGTTTTTGGGCTATCAGGGGCCCTCCCTGGTCGAACTCCTTTTCTTGGTGAGTTTTTTTGGTGTTATTTGGTGATATTGGTATTGGTGGTATCTTACTGTCGGCGGTCGGGGGCCAGGTGAGACTCTGGAGGGACGATCGATCGAGACGAGGATGAATTGATACAGTGGGGAGGCGTTTGTGGTGACGAGAAGATGCAAAAAGTAATTAAACTGTGAGGCAGAATAAGAAATAAGAAATGAGAAATAGGAAATGGGAAAGACCAAATAGGGAGGAGGAGAAAGAGGAAGAAAGTGAATGCGATGAGGCAAAGGGACGATTGGTGGCGGTAAACCTGGCCTAGGTCTGTAAGGGGATGCTCTCGATGGAGGTTCGTGGAGGCGAGGAGGAGTGGTAGACAAGGGGGGAGAGATGATGTCAAAAAGTGATGAGAACAAACAGAACAGAAACAGAAACAGAAACAAAAACACAAAACAGGAGTCTTTTGCTCAAGAAACGAAACCAAAACCCAAGGAGGAAGTCGCGAACTCAACAACGACAACTACCACACTGGGGAAGCCACGATTGGATGTCCCGACTCACAAATCAACCCACAGGGAAGGCAGAACACAGGAGACGTGACGAAAAGGGCAAGTGCAGGGGGGGAAGAGGCCAAAAAGGGGGGGCCCGGCGCCAGAGCACAAATAGGGTGTGTGTGTGGGCGTGTGCGTCCAGGGTTGGTGTGGTAGCATGGGCGGGCTTTTGCAGACTGTCGGTGCTTTTCTTTGGTCTCGTTTGGTTGGATTGGGCGGTGGCCGCGCCGAATGTCAAGCGCTCGCAACGACCGCAAATGCACCCTTCTACGAAGTAGCCATCCTCCCTGCCGCCTTCCCAGCAACAGAACACGGACCCACCGCTCTTGCTTGCTTTTGCAGGGAGCTTCTGTGCTGCACGCTGCATGTTGCCGTCGTTCTTTCCCTTTTCTGTCGTCTGGCGGACGGGGTCGACCCCAGCGTGCAAGTGCACCAGGAGCGATTGTAGCCGGCAAGTCATGTGCTCAAGGTACATTCGTACGATGGAGCCATTGCTGTCCGAAAGGCTTTCAATAATGACTTCGTATACTCAGTATTAGCACGCCTCCTTATTCATGAATCGCACGGCCTGGGCAATGACAACTGTGTATGGTGTTTTTGTGGTATGGGCGTGGGGGAAGTGGACTAATTGAATGGGCTGCGGCCAGTCACATGTATTAGGCTCCGATAAATATCGCAATGACTCTTGCTACGAAAGGAACCATTTCTACTCGGCCCAGAAGAACCGTTGCATGGAGCCAATACGCCGGAAGCGATGACGGTGTCGTGTCCGCCGGTCAAACACGGAGCTGCGATGCCATATCTTACCGCTACTGCGTAGCTAGAGGAGCTACCGTGGGCCCAATGCAGTCAACGGCACCATAAATGCAGCCAACAAACCACGCTAACTGCCTGTGTGCAGCTTGGGAAACCGGGGTGGTTTTCAACTGTGTTTTCGACCTTTTGCTGGGCGGGAGCGCAGCACAACGTTTCGTCGTATCTTATTCTAAATTTCCCCGGCAAGCTAAGGAGAGAAGACCACAAGCACCAGCCTGCAATTCGTATGCGGGGAGGGGGTGATGGATGGACCCTTGCCTTGCATGGCGTAGTGCGACTGGAAAAGTCACCACACACAATTAATCGAATGGGAAAAACAAGGGACGACCAAGACAGCCAATCGCCATCTGGCAGCACAATGTGTGACGCTGACCGGCGGTTGGCGGCAGAACATGGTAGACGGGCCGGCGGCAAGAAAGAGAAAGGCTAGAAAGAATGAGAAAGAATGAAATAAAAAAGAAGTGGAAGAGAACACAACCGGCGAGTCCAATGCCTCTCCGACGTACCTCTGCCTCGTTCGTTCACTCCGGATCTCCAGGAACAAGCCAGGAGCTACCAGAGCCCAAGTAAGAGAAAGATAATGTAAGATACCGGGTGTCTTAGGGGCTATTCGCACCTGTTGCGGTGGACCATTCCGGTCTTCACCTTCTTTCCTTTGCTTTTACTGCCTTTCATAGGCCTCCAAGCCAAGCCAAAGTTACAACACTGTGCCGCTAAGATACCTTGTCCACAGTACGTGTGGTAGAAACAAAAGACAGGGATTGCCAAAGACGGTTCCGGGACGAAAGGGAAGGAGCCGCTGAACATTGTCTGGGATCATTGTCTGGACTGCCAAAAGACAAAACGAATCTTCGCGAGACATCCGGCGCCCGACGTACGGAGCACGGAGCCAAATAAATAACGTTAAAGTGCCATCCAATCAACGGCTGCCCGTTGCGCTCGTCGCTTTCCCGCCCTCTCTGCAGGCAATCTGCACGTCTGCATGCAGTGCACGTTGCTGCACGAGCGTCGAGCCGTGCCCGGCTCAGTGCGGCGTGCGGTTGTAAGGGCTGTGGATGACTGTGGATGACGATGGCCGCCGGCAACCACAGCTTCGAATGTGAACGAGGCGACAGGTACGATGTACTCTTGTGCGCAATATACTCGGTACAGAGTATATATTCCAGTCGAGCAGTTCTAGATGCAAGCGACCCTGGACACTGTCCATCAAGGAAGGAGGCAAAGAAACGAGGCAAAGCAGTTGCCATTTGTAGGAATTGTGTAACCGCTCTCTTGGGTAGTTCCTGCCCGTGTTTTGCCAAAATGCCTTCCTGCCATTTTAGCCATCCATCGGACAGACAAAATATACATATGGAATATAAATATGGAAGGCTCGCGGTGGTCTATTTCAACACCTCCCCGCTTTGCGAAGAGCAAAAGCAAAATACGTCTTGCACGCCCTTTGTTCCTTTCTTCTTTCAAAGAGGGCGAATGGAAGAATCGACGGTGTTGCCTTTGGTTTGCTCCAAGACGGCAGCCGCAATCTTGCCTTTGCCCCAATGCCCATATTGCAGAACCCACACAGACCACAGACTGCCGTCCATGGAAAGCTCGTTTTTGGGAGCAACGGCATTCGGTGGAGCCACACGGAAGACAGAACGATGCCAAAATGATGCAGAAAGATGTCGACGCTCCTAACAAACGCTAAAGACAAATTCAACATCTTCAACTGCAAGTGCCGTGGTTCTTGTTGCTGATTTGCCTGTTGAGATCGACATGGCGACTCTACAAAGGGGGAACGGCGACGCCGGTCGTCTTGTTGATGTTGGAAGATAAGATTACACTGACTTGGGTCACACTATTGTACGACTTGTCTGATGGCTGATTCGTCGTCGTGGATGGCCCAATCGAGCCAATCCGTTGAAACAGGCCTGGTCAACGTCTCTTGGGCGAGCTGAAACGCATAGCGCCCACAATCCTCCGCCAGCGATCGGCACCCATCCATGAAGCAGAGCATGCCGGAGTGCGACACTCCAACGTGTCGACTGCGTGAGCGGCATGTCTCTTGCCAAGTCGGGACTTCACGGCCGAGGCGAGCGCGGTCATAAAGCGGGAACGTGCAAATCATGAAATGCATTTGCCTTTCGGGGCTCGGAAATGGAGTACAGCAAGAATGGATTCAAGACGACTTTCCAAAGGTTATTGTGTACAAAGTACTCTGCACATCGTACCAACAAGCCCCCATCATACAACGAACAGTGCCCTCACCGAGCAAGTCAAACAAGACACCGGCCCACCGACCTTGACACATGAACAGCAGATCACAAGCAAGACAAACCCGGGTCAAGACCACACTAGCACATGAGAAATGTGGGACAACACGAGAGTTGACACCTTCGGGAATAGAGAATGATTGACAATGTATGAGAACATTTATACTTATTTTGCGCTCAGGCATTGTCCTAGCTTCGGATAGTATTCTTTTGCTTGGCCTGGGCGGATATCAACTCAGTACGCACTTCAGATCACTCTACGACGTATTGTCAGCAGACTATGGGCAGCCAACTTTTAGTTTTCGCTTGTGCTTCTGGGTTAAATTAGGAAATGGAGGGTGTGGCACGACAAAGAAAGAGTCAAAAGGCACCCTCCAATGGCCACGCCGTGTTCGGTTTAGCTCGGGGAACCGCCCCCATTTCAACGAGATTAATCAAAGGAAGGTTTCTAGAACGAATTTGAAAAAAGGGGGAAACAGGGACGACAATCAAAAGAAGATACGACATAGTACGGAGTATGGAGTATGAAGTATGTCGTACAATGTAGAGACACTCCGCCCACGCCCGGAAATTGGTCCACGGCGTGGCCGGCTGTTTGAAGAGGACGAAAGCAACGATCGAAATAAGGTTTGCACTTTTTGTGATCCCTGCTGTTACAGGAGTTATTTGCACGACCGGGATATAGATTTGATGCATCGTCCGTACGGAACTGCATTCTCCTCGTTGCGTGCCCTGTCCCTCGTCATTGCAGCGGATCTGGAGAGCCAAAGGTGCTGGTAAGGGTGCGTCAACATGCGGTCCAATACCGGCATCCCCGCTGGTAGATGTCCGCTGCAGTCCTGCGGAGGCGGGCTCAGGCACGGAGGTAATGTCGTAGAGACAAGACGTTGAATGATAATGGACATATCTCCTGTGTTGGACATTACGTACCCAAAAAAGATACTGTGCTGTTCGCTTGACCGTAGGCAACCCCCCGTGCTCAATGTTGCAAGAACGCGGGCGTGGGGGTCGCAGTCGACCGACGCCGTTTTTGTCCAGTATTCCGTTTCGGTGCCTTCCATGGCCATCACCATTGCCTGTCTTTTCTCTTCTCTCTTGATTTGGTCCAGCATCGGTTCCATGGAGGGATATGCCAACTGGGATGCATCCCCACGTGCAGACACAAGGTGGTAAGAAGCGACGTTTGTCAACAAGCCCCCTGCTCCGGCAGAGCCCATGCCGATAATCCTTTGGTTCCTGTGTTCTGGTCGGCCTGGGACATATACCGTTGCTTTTGCTTTTGCTTTTGCATGTTTGTCATGTTACATCATGTACACGTACGCAGTTCTTTGCTCTTTGATCTCTGGTGCCGTACAAATCAGTTGTCCAGGACGGCCGAGCCACACCGGTCATATTGTTTCTATGCAGGCGCCCGTACAACGCACGTCGCAGTACCACTCGCAAGCACAGAGCTCCACTGGTCGTTTTTGCTCCCGTGGATGTCCGTAGGGCAGGCATTTGCCAGTCCCGGTGGACTACTCTCACCACGGCCGTCTCTCCGTCGCCGCTCGGCCGCCGCGTGTCTGCCCCCAACTAAGTCTCGTCCCCCGGCTCGTCGTCCTCGCCCTCGACCGTGATCCGCCGTCCCTGCACATTCTCCACCACCTCCGCCACGAGACTCTCCAGCAGCGCCGCGTCCTTGCCCACCAGCGTCACCGTGTTGCGCTTCCGCTCCCAGCGCGGATAGCTACCGACCTTGACGCCCTGCGGCTCGACGCGCGCGGCCAGCGCGGTGAGGTACGGCGCCACGACGCTCTCGGGCAGGGGTGTCGAGATGAGCACGCGCGCAATCTGGCGGCCCTCGAGCCTTGGCAGCAGCCGCGGCGTCAGGTTGTCGAGCAGCATCTCAAAGAGCCGGGGCACACCCGGCAGGATGTGCACGTTGCCGTTGACGACACAGACGGGGACCCACAAGTCCTCGCGGGGGAAGACAAACTGCGTCTCGGCGGGGATGGCCGGGTTGGTGGGCAGCTCGACCATGCGCAGGCGCGCGCGCAGGGCGGGCGAGTCGACGTCCCAGTCGACGACGGGCTGGTTGGGCCGCGGGCGGGCAATGGAAATCTCCCGCATGCGGCGGTAGGCCTCGTCGTAGAGCTTGATCTCGAGGCCGAACGCCTTGGCAATGGACGGGTACGTAATGTCGTCGTGTGTCGGCCCAATGCCGCCACTGGGCGTGTCAGATGGAACTGGGCTTCATCGAATCCCCACGAACCGGGCGAAGAAACTCACCTCGTCACGACAAAGTCGTAAGTGTTGCTCATGCGCCGGACGGCCTCGATGATCTGGCTTTCATCGTCTTCAATCACCTCGACACGCTTCAATGACTGCGGTGTGTCAGTTTGAGAACAAAAAACAAATGATACCATCGTCGAGACTTACAATTCCTAACGAGAAGCACCATTTTGCTACATATGCAGAGTTGGTCTATCGCTGTCAGTCGTGGCCACTGCGCCGTCTCTCAACAAAGCCACTCACATCTTTTGTCTATGAATGTTAGTAATGACTTTCAACCTTGATGTCTGTATATAGAGAGAGTATGCCAAAGACGCACCTTGCCGCCCAGAACCTCATCGCCGATGATGAGACAGGCCGCAGTGTGTATGGGCTTGGAGTGATTGCGGGCCGCTGTGGAGAGCTCGGCCATGGCGGAGAGCGTCGGCCGCGCCGCCGTCAAGCTGTTGCGAGCTGAAGCGAAGCCGGGGCGAGTAGACGCCGAGAAAGGAGAAGCGGAAGCGGAAGCGGAAGCTGAAGCGGCAGCACGGAGCAACGGCGATGTCGGCGCGGACACGTGACGCAGGATATGGGTGAGGCGCTGCGACATGGATGAGGAGAGAGGACGAAGGGAGAAAGCGAAGATTGACACAGAAAAGACGCAAGTATGTCGTGAAAGCAGTCAAAGGCGGCCGGCCAGTCAAAGGTAACCAGCAAAATGATATATGGATCGTGAGTCGTTAAAGCACGTAAGTCGGCTCTTTCCTCCTCAGGAACAAGTGCGTCACAGGCGGAGAACGCAATGGCGGGGATAAGACGAGGCAGGAGCGGGACGCAAAAGGCAGACCACAGCGGAGAGCAGGTCCCTCAATTAGCGCGCCTCGATACGCTAAAGACGGGCTCGTCAGTGGTCCGTCCAGGCCTCTAGGCCCCATCAATAGCGCCCTTGCAGCACGAACGCACGCTGCCATAGTGGACTCAGCTGTCCTCGTCACGCTCTTTTCCCCGCGATGCTTTTGATCGCTGCAACTTGACACCGGCCTTTCATTCTGCCATCGCCAAAGTGCACGACACTCTCGCCCGTTTCCAGTTACACGGCCACGATCCTGTCTCGTCCTCGTTGTCTGCCTGTGTACTCTGCCTGTGTACTCTGCCTGTGTACCCACCAACAGCCCAAGCATACGTACAGTCGTCAATATGGTGAGTCTGGTTGCGTCATTGTCGCGCCGATTCGTCATTGGCCTCCATCTCGACCCCCGACCGCTAACCCGCGTCGCCTCTTACCCCGGCACAGAGCTCCGAAGCAAGACTCTACACCTTCTCCGACGAGACCAAGGACCAGCTCCGCAAGTTCCGCCTCGGCACCTCGCGCGCCCGCGACCCCCAGGCCGTCATCTACCTCATCGACCGCGCCACCAAGGAGATCCGCCAGGACGACGAAAAGACGGTCTACACGAGCCTCGAGGCCATCGCCGACGACCTGCCCGAGAACTCGCCGCGCTTTGTGCTGCTCAGCTACCCCATGACGCTGCCGTCGGGCCGCCTGTCGTGTCCGTACGTGCTGCTGTACTACCTGCCCACGACCTGCAACAGCGAGCTGCGGATGCTGTATGCGGGCGCCAAGGAGCTGATGCGCAACACGAGCGAGGTGGGCAAGGTGCTGGACCTGGAGTCGACGGACGACTTTGAGGAGCTGCCGGAGCGTCTCGGGTCGGCGTAGGGGGGGAGGTGGGAGGGAGAGTGGGCGAATGAAGACCAACATTTGCCGGCGGTGACGATGGCGGACGGCGACAGACGAAGTGTTTCTTACGTCACAAGCTATAATGACCTTTGCTTTCATATTGCACGATTGGACGACGAATCGACGGATGGACAGATGGACAGATTTGCTTGGATAACGGGACAGGCGCTCTGCTATTCGAATTCATGAAATTGCTTTTTCCTGTGCAGCTTGACTTGGAAGGCATTCGTAATTGCACGTTTGTGTTTTGCATCTGACTGCATTGCAGGTGTCCCGAGTCGTTATGTGATTGTGAAAAAGCAAACGCTGTGTAAATGCACCATTCTATATACAAGTCGAAAAGACACCATGCCACGACTCGACCTACACCGTGCTGGCCTTACCGGACGTCTCCTTGTCGCCGTCGGGCAGCACCTCGGACGCGTTCAGTCCCAACTCGCCTGCCAGCGTCCGCACCACCGTCTTCAACGCCGCACACGCCGGGCTGTCCGGGTAGCTGTCAAAGAAGCTCTCGCCGTAGTCGCACGCCATGCCGATGCGCGGGTCCAGCGGCACGGCCCCCAGGAACGGCAGCCCCAGCTCGGCCGCCAGGCCGCGGCCGCCGCCCGTCGTGGCCCGGAAGATTTCGCTCTCGTGGCGGCACTTGGGGCACACGAAGCCGCTCATGTTCTCGACAAGGCCCAGCACGCGGATGCCGGCCTTGCGGCAAAAGTCAATCTCCTTGCGCACGTCCAGCAGCGCCACCTCCTGCGGCGTCGTCACCACCACGGCGCCGTCGATGCCGCTCTGGCCCAAGAACGCATTGACGCTGAGGTGCTCGTCGCTTGTGCCGGGCGGCGTGTCCACCAGCAAGAAATCCAGGTCGCCCCAGTCCACGTCCTTGAGGAACTGCTTGATCAGCCCGTTCTTCTTGGCCCCGCGCCAGATGATGGCGTCGTCGCGGTTCGGCAGCATGAACTGGATGCTCATGACGCCCAGATTGTCTGCCACCCACACCGGCGACCAGCCCGCGCTGCTGACGTGGATCGTCTCCGCCTCGACGCCCATCATCTTGGGGATGCTGGGCCCGCAAATGTCCGTGTCCATGATGCCCACGTTGCTGTCCGGGTTCGCCGAGAAGGCGTGCGCCAGCAGCGTCGTGAACGTGCTCTTGCCGACGCCGCCCTTGCCGCTGAGCACCAAGATCTTGTGCTTGACGTTTTCCAGCCGCGCCGTGATCACCGGGATGTCGGGGTCCGGGCCCTTGGGCGCCGATGCGCAGATCTCTTGGTTGGGACAGCCGGCGCACGAGTCGGCCTGGCCGGCCTGTTCCGATTCGGGGCCGGGGCAGTGCTCGGGCTCGGGTGCGACCAGCTTGGGCTTGGCCTTGAGTGGGTTTGCCAGGACATCCTCGACCGCCTCGGGCAGGTCCAGTGCCGGCGCCATGTCGGCGTTGTGGGAAATGTGTCAAACGGTTGTATGAAAGATGGAGGGTGATGTGAAGCGGAAGCTGTCTCTGCTGTTCTGGTTGTGTGCTTTGCTTCCGCGACGTCGAGAAATGCGTTTCTACAGAGTCTTGTGTGTTTGTTGCGACGTCGGAGGACGGACCATGTACAACTAGAAAAACATAATGCTGTGATTGGTAAGTGGCGAAAAGATGACCGGCGCTGGTTTCGCTGGTTTCGCTGGATTGGAAATGCGCATCGCCGTTGTGATTGGAGGGTCGTCTAGTGGCCGCATGACGGCATTCGCTGTGGGCTCTTGCCAGTAACGCATTTCTGGTTATGCTTTTCTTTTGTATGAAAACTAATGGGACAAGATTTAGAAGAAAAGGAACGAAATAAACAATCTCAAAACACGGTACGTAGAATAAAAAAAAAAGTAAAAATGTTTTCCAAAAACAAAAATATGCGACAACAGCAGGACTCGAACCTACGCGGCCGAAGCCATATGATATATCGAACTAGGAAATTCGAGTCATACCCATTAACCACTCTGGCATGTTGCCTGGTGCATCGTTGATTCTAAGTCCGAATCACCTTTTATTATATAGTCCATCTTGTGGCCGCTCGCGCCTGCTAATAGTAACCTCCCTGTTCTTTCCGTTCAGAATTTCTCAGCAATTTCTCTCCCAGCTGTCCTTAATTGCGCCATTCCTTTCTAACAAACGCAGTAGACTCCAAACGAATTGTAGACAATTCATCCTTCGCTGCCCAGCTCGGATGATGTGAGCTGCATGTCCTAAAGGATCATACGCTAACAGCACAAAGCATGCTGCAGCGCTCCCAACAGTCTCGCAGTCGCCAGCTAGGGCTGTTTTAGCATTTATTTTTGAATTAAATTAAATTCTTCCCTTCTTGCCGAGCTAACTTTATCCCGCATCCGTCAATTTTTCGAGCAAGGAAACAGCAGGAAGGCGCCAGCTTTGGCAGGAGCGAAAAACTAGCCTGGCTTGGACGGGAAAGTGCCGCCGGCCGCCCAAACGCTCCTGCCAGCATTTCTGCATGACTGAAGCCATTTGCACTACACGCGACGCTGCTCATCTCGAAAAACTGCCTTTTCGACGCATCGACGCATCGACGCTTTGGCATTCGGCCTCCATCGCCACGCTACCCCGTTCCGCCCGTCGCTCGTTTCGCCATCTGCATTTCATCTTCATTCATCGAATTGACACTTTTTCGTTTTGTTTCTTCGTTTCGTTCGCTCCTCCCTTTCCTCTCTCCGCCACAATGCTCCGCACATCTTTGCGCTCAGCACGAGCTCTGGGCAGCCGACCGTCGGCCGCGTCTGCCCGCACATGGCGCGTTGTCGGTGCCAGCCAGGTAAGCAGAGACTGTTGGCAAGCTCTGGCGAGCTTTGGCGAGCTCATGCGCTGCATTCAAACGCTAATTGACCCGTTCCTCGCCAACAGAGATTCTATGCCGATGCCCCGAAACCGCCCGTCTTGCCGGCGTCTGAGACGAGAACAGCTGCCTCGAGCCCCGTGCCGCCGCCGCCCACGACGACCTCTGCCCGCATTCCGTCCGACAGCGTGCCATTGACGCCGCCGCCGCCACCCCCAGCGCCACCGGCGGCGGCTGCTGCTGCTGCTGCTGCTGGCAACGCTGCGCCGCGGCGAAAGGGCGGTTTCTTCCGCAAGCTGCGCAACTACGTGCTGACGCTGTCCCTCCTGGGCGCGCTGGCGTTTGGCGGCGGGGTGTGGTACTCGCGCATCAACGACAACTTCCACGACTTCTTCACCGAGTACATTCCCTTTGGCGAGCAGGCCGTGCTCTACCTCGAGGAGCTCGACTTCCGCAAACGCTTCCCCAACATTGCCGAGCGCGTCGGCCACAAGGCGCGCGACACCGGTGCCAATGTCCGTGTTCCTGCCCAGAGCGGTGCCTCGTGGCGCGTGGCCGACGTGGAGACGAGCCGCCAGTCGGCTGCGGTTCCCAAGAAGAGCGGTGCCGAGGCGGCCCCTGCTGCTGCTGCTGCTGCCGCCCCCGCCACCACTGCTGCTCCCAAGAAGGGCGGCGATGCTCCCTCTGCACCAACTGTCCCGGCCAAGGCCGAGAATCCCGCGCGCGCCAAGGATGCCGTTGTCGAGTCGCCTGTGACCAACGCGGCCGAGGCCGCCGTGGTGGCCAACACCCAGGACGCGAAGACGACGACAGAGGCCGCCGCGGCCGCGCCGGCGTTCCGTGCGCCCGAGGTGGACGAGCCGTCGCGCTGGCCGCCCGCGTCGCCCATTGACCCGCTGTCCGTCCCGGACGCGGCCGAGCCGGTGGTGCAGGACGTCGTGCGCCTGCTCAACGACATCATCACCGTGGTCAACGCCGACAAGGCCAACGGCAAGTACGCGGCGACGATTGGCAAGGCCAAGGAGCAGGTCAGCAAGGTGGGCCGCAAGATCCAGGCCATCCGCGCGGCGGCCGAGACGGACGCGGCCGCGCAGGTGGCGGCCCGCACGGCCAGCTTCGACGCGGCCGCGCAGGACCTCGTGGCGCGCGTGGAGGCGGCCATGGCGACGCAGGAGGCGCAGTGGCGCGCCGAGTTCGACGAGCAGATGGCGGCCGTGCGCAGCAGCTACGACGCGCGGCTGCAGCTGGCGACGGCCCGCGAGCGCGAGCTCAGCGAGGCGAAGCTGCAGAACAAGCTGGCGGAGCAGGCCGTGCAGCTCACGCAGCAGTTTGCCGGCGAGCTGCGCGACCGCGTCGAGACGGAGCGCAGCGGCCGCCTCGGCCGCCTGGCCGAGCTGTCGGCGTCCGTGGCCGAGCTCGAGCGCTTGACGGCCGGCTGGACCGAGGTCGTCGACGCCAGCCAGCGCGCCCAGCAGCTGCACGTTGCCATGGACGCCGTGCGCGCGCGCCTCGCCGACGACGAGGACGCCACCGCCAGTCACGGCGCCGCGCAGCCCGTGCTGCGGCCGTTTGTCAAGGAGCTCGTCGCCGTCAAGGAGATTGCCACCGCCGACCCCGTCGTGGACGCCGCCATTGCCTCCATCCCCCCCGCCGCCTACCAGCGCGGCATCGCCACCACGTCGGAGCTCATCGACCGCTTCCGCCGCGTCGCCGGCGAGGTCCGCAAGGCCTCGCTGCTGCCCGAGGACGCCGGCGTCGCCAGCCACGCCTCGAGCTACGTCCTGAGCAAGGTGCTGTTCCGCAAGCAAGGCGCCGCCGCCAACGACGCCAACGACGCCCACGACGCCAACAACGCAGCCAATGCCAATGTCGAGACGATCCTGACGCGCACGCAGGCGTTTTTGGAGGAGGGCAACCTGGACGGCGCGGCACGGGAGATGAACGGCCTCAAGGGCTGGGCCAAGACGCTGAGCCGGGACTGGCTGGGCGAGGTGCGCAAGGTCCTGGAGGTGCAGCAGGCGCTGGATGTCATTACGGCTGAGGCTCGGTTACGGAGTCTGCAGCTGGAGAAGAGCCGGTGAAATGAGAGAGCGCGTTGAGAAAGACGAATGGCATGAGGTCTTTTTTTTTTCATAATCCGTCCTTTTTTTTGTTTCTGTTCTTCTTTTTCCTTTGTCATGTGTTCAAATCTTGCTTCTGTTGTTATATGTGTATACTTTTTTTCATCTGATGGAACGGGCAAGGAGAAAGGCAAAAATAGACCATGTAGAGACAGACGAGGGCGTATGTACGAGAAGGAGGATGACTGGAGGAAGGAAGAGCCGATGCATGTGTACAGTATAATACAATAAATCAGCATGTAAATTAAGCGTTCTTATGTGGATGTCCCTGTGACCTGTCTGAAGTTTCGTACAAAAGCTGTTTCTCGCATTGTCATTGTCATTATGTCTTTGTAAATACAAGTAGGGCTGCATTACGCCGCCGCCTTCTCGTCCGGACCAAGAACTAGGTTGTGCATCAGCTTCATATGGCGCACCATATTCGGCCGCCGCGTGAAGCCGTCCAGGGCGCGTGGGCAGTTGGGCCGAGGACAGTACCAGACGCTGGGTGTTGGCTTCTTTGGCGGGCCTGGCTTGGGTTTCGGAGGGGCCGTCGGAGCGCCTGGAATCACCGGCAGAGGGACGACGGACATTGGCCGAGGCTGGGACGCGGTGGATGTCCTCGCGTCGGGGTTGCCACTGCTGACATCCTCGCCGTCGTCGTCTTCTCCGGTGCTCTCATCATAGTCATCCTGATCCTCGACATCATCACCGACCGCAGCCAACGCCGGCACATCCGCCTGCATTCTGTCTCGCATCTGCGTCATCAGCGTCTCGCGTTGCGCCAGTCGATCCTGGCGCCGGGCATGAGCACGCTTTACCTCGAGTGTCAGCGCATCCAGTGCCTTTGTGTCGGCCTCGGCGGTCGCTGTGGACAGGGCGGACGGTCCGGTAGACACGTCGGTTCCTCGTGGCGTGTAGACGGTGCGCGTGACAGACGGAGGCACCGCCGAATTCTCCACCGAACTCTCTACCGAACGCGGCTCTGCGCCAACGCCGGCCAGCGTGTCCACCGCCATGCGCTGGCCAAACAGGTCGGCGCAGCGCTGCGAGGTGCGGGCCAGGACCTCTGGGCTGAAGCCGCCACTGAGGGCAGCCGCGCCCAGCACGTCGGTCCAGTCCCGCAGCGGCCAACGGGCCATGGTCTTGTCCGATGGATGCCCTTTTGTGGCCGTGGTGTGTGTGCGTTTTCGGCGGCCAATTTCTGCTCCGGTTCCTTTTTCGTCGTCGCCCGTCTGCCCGTCGCTATCGTAAGCCTCTCCATTTTCGTCGTCGTCCTCGTCGTCGTCCTCGACGTCGACAATAAACCCCTTCATCGTTACGCTCCTTGCCTTGGTGGCCACGTTGTCGACATTCTCGGCAAACGAGACTCGTCGTTGCCGCTCCTGAGGTGCAGCTGTCTTGGTCTGGGGACCGAACGAGGGGGGATATACCGGCGTCTCCTTGGGCCGCGGGGTTTTGTCCTTGTCGTCTTCTTCGTCTATATCCTCCCCGTCGTCTCCGTCCTCCTTTTCGTCGTCTGAAAAGTCGGGGATGCGTCGATGCGCCTGCCGCGCTATACGGATGAGAAACTGCTTCTCCGTCTCGCCCGGCAATGGCTGCCGCCGCTTCACCGGCCGTCCGCGTCCGTCAACCTCTTTCCGCTGGCTCTTGCTCGCGCTGGCAGGGTTTTTCTGCTTCGGCAGCGTCTGTTCGCCGCCTGTCTGCTGGTCAGCCAAACCGCCCGCTGAGCGAACGTCCGGCACCGGCGCTGTGGCCACCATCACCTCGGGCCCCGACGACCACTCCTTCGGCCGCAGGCAGACGCGTTTCTTGCTGGGCTGCGGTAGTTTCTTTGCAATCTTTCGCAGAACTGGTCCTGTCCCTGTCCCCTCGAGGGCGTCCACGGATGGTGACGGCTGCCGCCGCAACCGTGCGGCAAGCGAGCTCGATCTTGCGCTCGAGCCCGTCGCGTTGCTCTCACCAATGGCCGCCGTGGCGACACGTGCATTGTGCAGGATCGACAGCACCTTGTCGACTTGGGCAAGTAGATGGCGGACGCTCGGGTGCAGCAGATGAGCGGCCAGCTCGTCGTCGGCCAGGACCACGGCCGGGGCGTCGTCGGCCCCATTGGTGTTTTTTTCCGTGCTCGCCTGGGTCGCTGTGGTATCCATGCGGCTGTCCACGACAAGCTGCGCGGAACGTCCCTCCTGTTGCTCTTGTGCCCGCCGGGCTCGTCGCCGCTGGTAAAACTGCTCGCGAGCCACGCGCTGCATCGTGGCCGTCAGCATGTCTTCGAGAGGCTTGCTGGGCCGCGTTTCGGAACGCGGCTCATGGCTCTGGAAGATGGGCATGTTTTGGTGCTTGTGCTTGTCATCGTCGTCGTCGTCGTTGTTGTCGTTGTCGTTTGCATCCGGCTGGCCTTCGTCAAACACGCCGAGGCCAAGGCTGTCGCGCAGCCGCAACGGCCACGCCGTCCAATACGGCTTCGGCGCCCAGGTGTCTGGGTCGTCTGGGTCGACGGTCTGCTTCATGTAGAAGGCATTGTAGAGGTGTGCAGCCAGGTCGCGGTCACGCGTGCGGTTCATGGCAGCCACCACGGCGCGGTCGAGCTCGGTAATGTGCTGCCATGCGCGTGGATTGCCTTGCCAGCGATTCGGTCGACGCGCTGCCAGGTCGTCCGAGTCGCGCGAGGCGATGCTGGCCGTGTCCGGGTCGGACCAGTCATTGTTGGCAGCCAGGGCTGCAGGCTGATGCTCAGGTTCGGGCACGGGTGTCTCCCACTCTTCCGCCATTTCTTGTCGCTCCCGTTCCCTTCCATCAATCTGCCTTGTCCTTTGATGCGTCTCTGCGGCCCCGTATGGTGCCATTCTTGCGCTTCCCTATTCCGAGCTGCAAGGCGATCTTTTATCCGCTTCTGGTCCGGGTGCAGCATGACGTTGTGCGGAGCGACAAAGCTCGGTTTGTGGCAGTGTGGTGGACGTTGCGTTGTGACCTGAGCGATTGTTCGTTGTTGTCGATGTGAAAATTAAAGTGGGGCCAGTCGATAACTAACAAGCCATAAAGTTGGTGTTTAATGCAACTCATTAACATTTACGAATGTACATTGATGAACACGTACTTTTACATTCACATTTGCACCTGGATATACTCCAGTCAAAAAATCAAACACTACGCCATGGTTGACATGAGATACAACATCATAAATAAGCTATGAACGCCATTCTTGACCTAAATGTAACGAAAAAATGAAACAAGAAAATAAATGCAAAACAACACAACTTTTCTATAGAAACAGACGGCACGACAGCTCACAACACAACACACTCGTCCCGCTAAGCCTGCGCCTTGGCGTTCTTCCGCTCCAGCTTCCGGCGCTTGGCCCGCAGCTTCTCGTCCTCGGCACTGCGCTTGGTGTTGGTGTACACCATCTGCTCGTACAGCCGCCGCTTCTTCTTCGGCAGCATGCCCTTGGCCCGCTCCAGCTCGTCCTGCCGCTGCTTGGCGTCGCGTGCCAGCGCCTTGCGCGCGTTGGCCTTGGCTTTGGCGCGGGCGTCCAGCGGCGCCTTGTTGTGGGCGCTGCGGACGGGCTTGCCCGACAGCTCGGCCTCGAGCTCCAGCTGGCGCTGCAGCGCGCTGTCGGCCTCTTCCTCGTCCTCGTCGGCGTCCTCCGTCTCGCCCACGCTCTGAGACACCTTTTTGGGCGCGGCCGTCGCCTTCTCGTCTTCCTCCTCCTCCTCCTCCTCCTCATCGTCCGTACCGGCCACGTCCATGCCGTGGTCGCTGTCGTCGTCAGACTCTTGCGTCGCCGCAGCCTTCTTGGCCGCCTTGGCCTTCTTGACCTTTTCGACGTCCGCCTCCACGGCCGCCGCCTCGTCGTCGTCGTTGTCCTCGTCCTCGTCGTCCTCATCCTCGTCCGCCTCGGCATCCGACTCGAGCGCCTCCATCTCGGTCTGCTGCTGGTCCAGCGGCAGCGACGGGTCGTACTGGCCCTGCACGCTCTTCACAAACGGACTCAGGTGCGGCGGCAGCTGTGCGCCCGGTGCGTACACGTCCGCCGGCAGCAGCTCCTCGGCGTTGACGCTGTCCCACACCCACTGCGGCTGCACGTAGATGCGGCCGGCCACGCGGCGGTTGGCCGCCAGCTTCTGCGCCGTCTGGTTGTCTTCCTTGTCTTGTTTGCCCTGTTCGCCGTCGCTCGTCGCCGTCACAGTGACGGGCGGCCGGTCCACAATCTGGTGCGTAATGTTGGGGTCCATCTCGTTGGTCGTGTAGGCGCCCTCGCCGAGCACCGCGTCCCAGCCGATGCGCTTGCAGCCAAACGCCCGCAGCAAGAACTCGAGCGAGCCACGCGGCGTCTCGCGCGACAGGTAGATGGTGCACTTGGAGAAGAGCTGGCGCGGGTTGCTGGCGCTGTACGACGGCTGCGGCAGCACGTCGCCGCCCTGGGCCGCCGGCTCAAACTTGTCAATGGCGTCGGACACGACGTCGGCGTCGGCAGGTTCAGCAGTTTCAGAAGCGTCTGTGGTGTCCGCCCGGCCCGCCTCCTCGTCCTTGAGCTCCCGAACCAGCTTGTTGACCTCGGCCTGCACCTTGGGGTCCGGGCCGGCGGCCTTTGTGGCCGCGGCGGTCTCCGCCGCAGGCTGGCCGTTGACCGCCGCAGCGTCCTCGAGCGTAAACGCACCGAGCTCGCCGGCGCCGTCGTCCTTGGCCTGGTCGAACTTGGGCGGGTACTTGAGCCCCACGGCCGTGTACAGGCGGAAGTTGACAAAGCCCAGCAGCGTCATGTAGAACTCGACAAAGGTGCCCATGATGCGGAAGTCAATGTCGCCCACCACGCGTTGGTTGAACTTGTACGGCACGAGCCACGTGACGTCCTCGCCCTGGATGCTGGCCTGGAAATAGACGCCCTTGATGCTCAGAAACGACTTGCGCAGCGAGTGCGACACAATCAGGTAGTGCTGGAACTCGAGGCACAGCCGCTCGCACCGCGCAATCATCTTGGCCGGCACCGACGACGTCGACGGCAGGTTGGCAAACAAGAACAGCATCGACAGGCAGTCGTCGAGGTCGCGCAGCGAGTCCACAAACGTCGGGTACCGCTCGCGGATGACGTGGTCCAGCGTGTAGCGGGGCCGCCCCGTCTTCTCGGGCCGCGCGGCGTTGCGCTCGAAGCGCTTGGCATCCGTCACGTCGCCGCGGCCGAGCGCCCGCGAGATCTTCTTTTCGAGGGCCTTTTGCTCGCGGAACCGGTTGACCAGCGGCTCGTGCAGCAGGTACTGGATGTCCTTGGCGTAGTAAAACGTCGTCGACGCCGTCGACGACTTGGACACCTTCTTCTTGCTGCGCGGCTCACGCGGATAGATGCCCTTCCAGATGCACAGCTTGCGGAAGTCGGGCAGGCTCAGCTGCAGCTTGCGCACCGCCTGGTTGCGGGTGACGTAGTTGCGGGCGGCACCGGCCTCGCCCTTTCTCTTGGGACGAGCCATGTGCGAGGTCGGATGCGGGGGAGGGAAGGATAAGGGTTGTTGGTGCGGTTGGCGATGCTTGTTGATCACAAATCACAGACGATGGTGGTCGTGTCGTGGTGATAGAAGAGGTTTTTGCTGGGGGAAAGCCTCCAAAAGCGGTGGTAGCAGCAAGCCAGTTGCACTTTCCTGTAGCGTAAACTTTTTTTCCAATGGGCGGACTAGTTTTTTTTTCTGCCACCCTTTTATGGCAGCCAGCCTCCTACCGCAGAGACTTTTTCACCACCTGCACTCACCGCCCTTCGTTGGGTCCACTTTCAAGCCACATCCGCCACAGGGGGTCTTTCCACCGTCAGGGGCCCCTCTGTCCCCTGGCTGGCTCCCTCGCAGCTACCTGTAAGTGGGACACGGTTGGCACCAAGCTCTGTCCAATTAGAGCGCGGCGCGTCTTAAGGACAGCACTACAGGCTGCACCTTCCCCTAAAAGCGTCAATGGCCACCATCACGAACGTCCTCTCTCACACCTCAACTCACCCTCAACGACAGACACCATCCCCCCCTGCAACCAGCCGGGCGATGAATGGCGGACGCACCATGACCTTTGGGAGGACGGCGGCGCTGTATGCGGTGGCGGCCGCCGTGCGCCTCGCGCTCTTCACCGTCTTCCCGGGCCTCCCCGACCTGTTGACCGGACGCGTCGAGATCTCGACGCCCGTGACCAGCTTCAAGCGCCTGCAGGAGGGCTTGTTCCTGTACAACCACAACGTGTCGCCCTACGACGGTGGCGTCTACCACCAGGCGCCGCTGCTGCTGCCGCTCTTCTCGCTGCTGCCGCCGGCCAGCCTGCCCGTCTTCACCTACCTGCTCTACATTGCCGTCGATCTGCTGAGCGCCGATGCTCTGGTGCGCATTGCCGACTCGGGCGAGGCGGGCGCCTCGGCCCTGTTCACGTCCCCGCGGCGCGAGAAGCGCTGGAGCGGGTTTGTCGTGGCGGCTGTGTAAGTTGCCCGGTGGTCTCGCACGGTACACAACTTGGATCCAACTAACCCTTCCACTGCAGTTACCTCTTCAACCCCTTTACGGTGGCGACGTGCATCGGCCGCTCCACCAGCGTCTTCTCGACCTGTGCCATTCTCCACGCCATCAGCAAGGCCATTGCCGGCGCGCCGCTCCGCGCCATGGTCTCGCTCTCCTTCGCCGCCTACCTCTCCATGTATCCGCTGCTCCTGCTGCCGCCCCTCGTCCTGCTGGCCTACGACCGTCGCAAGACAAGGACACGGGCGAGGCCGCTGCTCGCCTTCTCGGCCGTCCACGTCCTCTTCGTGGCGGTGTGCCTCGTCGTGCTGCTCGGCATGTCCTTTGTGCTGACGGGCGGCTCCTGGGAGTTTCTGCGGTCGACCTACGGCGTGCAGCTCACCCTGTCGGACCTGACGCCCAATGTCGGGCTCTGGTGGTACTTTTTTATCGAAATGTTCGACTCGTTCCGTGCGTTTTTCGTCGCCGTCTTTTGGCTGCACCTCTCGAGCTACGTCGGCGGGCTCGCCATCCGCATCCGCAGCCAGCCGCTCGTCGTGCTCACGCTGCTCACGGGCATCTTTGCCATTTTCAAGCCGTACCCCAGCATCGGCGACACCTCGCTCTTCCTGGCGCTCGTGCCGCTGTTCCGCCACGTGTTCCCGCTGATGCGGTACACCTTCGTCGTGGCGGCCACCATCATGTACGCGACGTTCCTGGGCCCGGCGTTCTACCACCTGTGGATCTACGCCGGCAGCGGCAACGCCAACTTCTTCTACGCCATTACCCTGGTGTGGAGCTTGGGACAGAGCCTGCTGGTGTCGGACCTGACGTTTGCGGTGCTGCGGGACGAGTGGGAGGTGGAGCGGCCGGAGATGGTTGGCAAAGAGATCCGGCAGATTTAATGGCGGTGGCGAGACGTCTTCCCGTGCGAGACCTCTTCTTGATGTGAAGAAACAGGCTCAACGTAACGGCTCGGCCTCGTTTAACTTTTTATGATGCAAAGCGTATGCCTGTATAAGGTTTGCAGCCATGGTGTTGTATTCATTTGCATTTTGTGTCATTTACACGCACGCATTTCCTTTGTCGGGACTGGTTATAAAAGGGACAGATACACACTGTGATTTAGTTGCTTGTTTCTTGTTTCTTAAAGAAAATATAGTATAAATTCCATCGCATGACTTTCAATGTACCAAATTCAAGAGTGTAGAGGTCATTTCCCACTGCCTTCTTTTTCCTATCCCATACCCTCCATGATATCATTACACGAGTTCATGTTCACATATGACGCCTGAAAATGCTAATGCCAAAAGAAAAAAAGATTGCAAGTCCACCAACCACCCTTTACAGCACGCTCAACAAGGCACCCGCCGCGCCCAGTCCGGCAAACGAGATGGGCGCCCGCCGGTACACGACGATACGCGAGCCAAAGGCCGGCAGCCGGCGGTAGCCCAGGATCAGACCGACAAACAATGCTGTGCCGGCCATGGTCGCCGACACCGTGACCAGCCGCTGCCACCGCGCGGCCGTCATGTCGCGTTGCCAGCGGGCGACGGTAGGGTCCGAGCTGCTTTCGGCGCTATCATCGCCGTCATCGCTCTCTACGCGGAGGCGCCGCCACAGCCAGACCACCCACTCGCCGCTGAGGCCAGGGACGCTGTGGACGAGGCCGTGCAGCGTGCGCAGCCACAGCGGGTTGGCATAGCGGCCGCGGGGTCGGGCGACGGTCATCGTCCACACCAACGCCGTGTACGCCAACGCCGTGTCCTCGCCCGGGAAGCAGACGGCACGCACGTCGGCGACAAAGACGGCGAGGGCAGGGTGGTGCCGCCACAGGGTGTCGCGCAGAAACGAGCGGGGCACGTCCGGCACCGTCATGAGTGCCAGGTAGCCCCAAGCAAGGCAGTCGAGGGAGGTCAGGGACGCGACGAGGGAGAGTGCGCTTGCTTGGCTGTCTGTGTTGTCTGTGCTGTCTGTGCTGTCCGTGCCTGTGGAAGACGCCCGTAGGAATGTACGCTTGGCGCCCTTTTGCTCCGCCAGGACAGACAAGCAGCTGCGGACGGCCTCGTCGAGGCGGGCCGGTACCGTGGCCTCGGGCGTTTGAGACGACGACTGGGCATGGACACGCGACGCAGCCTCGGCCATGGATAGCGAGTGCGCCGCAGGCTTCGCTTCCGTCGCCGCCGTCTGGGCTGGCTTCGCATGCTGCTGCTGCTGCTGCACCGACTTTCGTATCCGGTCGGGGAAAACGTGCAGCGCGGCCGCCAGGGACGACGCCTTGTGGCTGCCGTCCTCGTCGCTCACGTCATTGTCCGTATCCAGGCTCGAGACGCCCAGGTGCGCCGCGCTGGCGGCATACGACGCGCGAATCGCCGGCGGCTCGAGCCAGGTCAGCGGGAAGGGCAGGATGCGGCTGTAGGCCGGGCGGGTGGCGGCGATCCAGTTCGCGGAGGACACATAGAAGGAGAGGGCCAGCAGGGGTGCGGCCTCGGCACGCAGAAAGGCTGAGTAGGCAGTGGCGTCGGCAACCTGGGCGGGGGTGAGGCCGACGTCCAGGTCGGTGATCGAGGCGTCCGTCGTGGCTTTCGCTCGCACAAAGGCCACGATCGAGTCGAAGCCGGCGGCCACCCAGCGGCCGGACTCGTTGTCACGCAGAGCAGGCAATGGGTCTAGACACGAGGTTCCTATTAGCAGGTGTATGATGCACCCAAATGTTCCAAGGATTTGTCGCCTCCGGCAACTCACGAGGAATCGACGACGGGCTTGCTGCCAGGCGTGTCCAGGAGCCCCGCGGCAGTGTGACGCTCAGGTAGGCAACAGCGGCGAGACATTCGGCGTCAATGGACGGCAGGCCAAAGGCCGGGCCCCAGATGTGCAGTTCGAGAGGCATGGCTTTGACGTGAGGGTGGTGACAGTGGATGTGCCTAACAAGACAGCGGGCAACCTCCTTCCCCTGTTGACGTCGTTGCATGCACTTTATCGGACGGAGGGGTGTAGAGAAAAAAAAGAAGGAGCAAACTGCTATCTCCACGTGACACAAGGGCACCTTCCGTTTTAAAGCTTACACTGGGCACATTCAATCATGAAACAGGCAACTGGTAAGATGGCCGAGCGGTCTAAGGCGCTAGCTTCAGGTTCCAGGCGAGGATTTCCGGATTCGAGTCGAGCAACGTGAACATGCTAGTCTCGCAAGAGGCGTGGGTTCGAATCCCACTCTTATCAATCATTTTTTGTTTTTTTCTGGCTTTTTTTGCCACACGACTTTTAACCTTCTTTTGTAGCTTCTGAGATTTTAAAGCAAATTATGTCCAATCTATGATGGTTTTCTTATAATTGTTCCTTTTAGAAATAACTGCTTGATATTCGTATTTTAGCCTTTTTATTTTATTTCATTTTTATTTTTATTTTTTTCTGGGGAAAACATTTTACTTTAATGTATTTAATCAACTTTATTATCCACGGAGCTCGTAAAGATTTGTTTTATATTTTCGTTATAAGCCGTCCTTTTGCTTCCGCCGATGTGAATGTTATGGATTGTATTTTGAAGCTCATGACAAAAACTAACATCAAAACAGTACGGACATACGCAGGCGTGTCTCGAGGACTGCCAATGTTTGAAAACGGCTTGGCATCTCCGTTTCGGCCTGTGCACACTTCTTTACTTAATTGTCAGCTACAGTCTTACCGCACGCCTCAGCTTCAGCCCAGCTTTGCCAGTGTTGCGCTCGTTTGGAGCGTTCGTCTTCCCGGGCATGATATTGTATCGTATGTGTATCAAGAAACCTCTCACAGGAGGCATGTTGACAAAAGTGGTATAGAAACAGACCCCACCAGTGTTTTCTACAGTATTAATTCTCCATACGGAAATCTCCATCGCTCACATTGTAACCGCTGCACCTCTTCATTCTCGACAGTTGTGCGAGCGTGATAATGCACTTCCACAGCGTGATAATACACTTCCACCCAGCAAGGGCGCTCCTGGGCTCCATCTGTATGGCAGACGAAAC